TTCGTATGATTAATCTGTATTACATATTACTCGATCCTTATTATAAGGAATTTTTATTTATTTCAAATTTTATTTAGTATGTTATACTAATTAAAAATAAAATTTTAAAAATATATTATCACATTTATTGTGTTCTCCTAATTATGGTAAAATACTTTTTAAATTTTATTTTTAATTGAAAGAAAATACTAAATAAAACTTAAAAACAAATCAATATGTTTTATAATAAAGACGGAAAGGATTATGTTTTAGCTGCAAGAGGTGACAATAATTCTCCAAACCTTAAAGAATGTCACCAAAATTATTCCCTTTTTGTTTTTAACTTGGGATGGTGAGAGTGCCATTTTTGTTCAATTTACTGGGCAGTTTTATTTATGTCGATGTTGTAAGATACAGTCCCGTTAATGCAGTTAAAAGTTAACAAGTTCATCGTTGCGATCTGCTATTATTCCAACCAAAGACGGTCATCTTTAATGTTGAAGACATGATATGCCATTTTATCAAGGTTTTAAAAGAGAAATTTTTAATTGTGGAAGAATAATTGATCACTTGTTGTTTCAAAGATTCTTAAAATCCAAAAATTAACTTAAACTCGTTATCAATCAATGCAACGGTGTAGTGCGACTTGAAAATTTCACTATTTTATAATTGTAAGATGTTTATTTCGATATTCAACCATTGTGACTTTTCATTTTTTTGAATTTTATTAATAATCTATTTCTATTCTTGTGTCATATGTCATATGTTACTTTAAAAAAAAATATAGAATTCTTTGGCATACTCATATAGGATCACCATCATTCGTATTTATATACTCTCTCCGTCCCAAAATTATTGTCAAGTTTAGAATTTCACTTTTAGTTCAATCTATACTAAAAATGAAAATTTAAATTAGACAATAATTTCATGACAAAGGTCAGAAGAAGTACCTGATTAAAAGGTCTATTAATGTAAACTAGAATGAAGAGTAATTGAAAGCGGTAATGGAATAATAGGCAACTATTACCACTGTGCTATCCTCATTACATATGAATCACAGAGATACAAAGTGGCGAATCTTCAAGTATCAAGTATGCTTGGTCGATTAGTTTCATTATTGCTAAATAGTCTTGTGGCAACTTTAATTTTTCTGTGAATCCAATTGAACAATCCATTGCTTGTCCATAAACTCTCCCATTCCCATAATAAACTCTAAATGGTGCAGAAAATTTTGATGGCGAGGAAAAGATGAAACAAACCTTAAACATTGTGCTACTAGAAAGAAGAGACAACTATGAATCTATGATTATCTAATTCGAAGGAAACATGAAACAAGTTTTTTTTTTTTTTTCATACTGAGCATAGTGTCCCAAGTGTATTGCACTCATATTAATCTGTATTGAGCCGAGTCGGTATTCTTTCAGAGTGAAAACTCTCCTAACATTGTTTTTTTTTTTATTCACGAGACTCAAACCCGATTTAAGCGAATTAAAGCACCTTACCACCCTGGCCAACCAAGTGTTGGTGGAAACAAGTAGTAGTACTGTTTGACTTGATGGGACTCCCATATCCATGACCCCCATTCTCACTATCTTTCTAAACAAAGTTTTACGAAGTCAACCTTAAAAAATCCATATACTTCACAGAACATGCTTTAGAATCTGCTTCAACGCGGAGATCTCATTCAAGTGCTCCAGCCAATAAGACTAGCTATCTTGATATTCTTAACCAGTGGGGGTACAGACAGATCACATGTCTCTGTGTGTGTGTGTTTTTGCAATTTGCAGTACATTGATTATGAGCCAGCTGCTTGTTATTTCTTCTCATGGGTTGACTTGTTTTCTTGTCTGAAATTGTTTTGATGATCACCATTAAGATTTGATTAATTTGATATTTTCTACGTTTGTAAAATATATAAGTATCTTGGATTCCCATTTCAAAACTAATTGGTAATGAGTAGGATAACCTTTAAAACTTATAAACTGAGTCACTTATTTTCACGGTGGCGATGTGTGGCAGATAATACACCTTAACAATTACAACAATTACAACAATATAGTATCAATTTGTATGATAAAATCATATATAAAAGTGGCATCACTACTAGCTAACTCCATCAGTACGTACGTTCACGACATGAATAGGAAAGGGTGGGACAAAACGTTAATGCAATTAATTAAAAGGAAATGAGATTTTTTGGGACACATCCGGATCATTCAAATTAATTTACTCATTAGTGATTAGTGATGTACTTTTCCACGCAGTATATCAACAAGAAATACACTAACCCTTTTTTTTTTTTTTAATAGAAGTTACATTCTAAAATCTAAACTAGATACTAGCTTCAAGCAAGAAAGTTTTTCTGATATTTCTTGAAATTCTGCTATCTGGCCCAGCAGTTATGTACTTCAGTTTGTAAATTGTAATTCGTACTTTGAACACAGTTAATTTTATGCAATTAGTTACTTCCTTTTCTCTCCGAGTTAATGAACCGCTTTCCACTATTTTTTTAAAATTTTTAATTTTGTTTTCATTTTCCCTACCTTTCTTATTCTTATTTCTTAACATAAGAAAATGGATGAAAATATGAAATAATATTACATAGTTTTTCTTGTATCGTGGAGTAATCACATACGACAAATTAAAGGTCAAAAGCTAAACCATCTAAAGAAGTCAAATACCAGTAATAGGATATCAATATTTAAAAGAAAAACAATCTGATTCAGATTAAATCATTAGGTCATTGGTCAATCTTAAGTATACGATTTTATTTATTAATCCTTCTGTCCCAAAATTATTGTCCAGTTTGAGATTTCACATTTAGTACAATTTGAACTAAAATGAAAACTCAAACTGGACATTAATTATGGGACGGAAGGAGTATTATTTTTTTTGTCCGAAGATAAATGAAGGGCCGACTGCTGCATTTTGCAAGTAATGGGTGGGATTTAAAGTTTAAACGTGATTTCCTAATGAAACTCTTGGTGTTTACAAATGCACTTTTCTTCTTTATTCTTTTTTTTTTTTTTTTTGTCTTAGGAGAGGTGAAATTTTAAATGGATGAAAATTCATAAACTGAATGTAATTTAATCAACTTTATGCAATTAGCCACTTCCTTTGCTTCATTTTTAAATGAACAGACTGTTTTTCATTTTGCACAACGAGTAAAAGTATTTGGACTCATGACCTTCTAGTCCATCTAGTGCATTACTGGCCTTGGCCCATTGATTTATTCCTCTAAATCAATAACAATACATGAAAATCGATTCTTAGCAAAACTAGAAGCCATGACCACAAAAACACGGTTGCTTGCACGTCTAATCAATATAGTAGTACACTAATTAAGGCATTAACAGTTACGTTTGACTGTTGGACCAACGTAGATGTATATTACTATTGCTCACATGCAATAAATGAACCCCGCCCAATATTACTACTAACTGCACAGCGTTGACTTTATTGCTATTTTACTTTAAAATTTAAAAAACAATTATTATGACTAGCTGGCTCAATTACTGGTTCAGTTACTACTAGATTTCTAGAATATTGGCAAAAATTGGGGTTTTTATGGAGGTGTAGATCATTGTAACCTTGTCAATGGATTGAAAGGCAAATTTCAAATAAATTTCTTGACTTTATATATATAATATATATATATATATATATATATAATGGAGGATTCTTGCCTTCATGAGTTTTTTTTTTTTTTTTTTTTTGACGTTTTGTCTTCCACATTTTCAATCTCTTGTAAGATCAGCATGAATACATTAATTGCTCTACACCCAATCATCCACACGTCCAAATCCAAGAAAACTTACGTATGTTTTGTGTGGAACTTACTAGATGTATTGGGAGAGAGAGTATAACAGATCATTCATTCTACCTACATCATCAACTGAACAAGGTGTATTGGACGGTCATCTATCCATCCACCAAAGCTGAGGAGTAAGAAGAGTTGGACACTGCCCTACAACTACAACAAATTATTATTATTATTATTATTATGAGAGAGTTTCTGTTTAGAAATACTCCTTCTCATCTTTAATATAAAACATTTTGATTTATCCTAAGTTTAACATAATATATATTTTTAATTGACGAAAAAACTTTAAAAATATTTTATAACAATCAAGAGAATACAACGAATGTGAAAATATATTTTTAAAGTTTTTTGTCAATTAAAAACACGTACTGAATGAAAGCAGGAAAAATCAAAATGTCTTACGAAAGGAACAGTAGTGAGTAATGAAGGTAGGTGTTTCTTTCTTGTGGTTGTGTTTTGATGCCCACAAAAACCCAGCCTAACAACCAAAACTACACACGTTCCCACCAACCCTTCTTTTCAGTTTTCTCTCTCTCTCAAACCTCCTCAAAACATCTTTGCCCCAACTTGCCGATCAAATGCTGTGTGTGTTCAAACGTATTGATGAGGAATGTGATTGATACAACAATGTAATTCGGACCATTGTTTTCAAATTAAGAACAAGTTTAAAGTATTATAGTCGAGATGAAAAAATCTACTTTATTATTCCTTCAAATGTGAAATCCCACTAAAAGAAATTATTGATTAGTAGGAGTATCTTTTTATAATGGTTTCTCGATCATCGTTTGATACTAGATAATTCATGAATTAAGGTTGGCCAACCAGACCATATGTTAAGGAAAAGTGTCCATATTCCCTTCTACAATGGATAGGGCACATCGATGATAAAAAATGACGAGTGAAATGATTTAGTGACTAATGTGACATACATAAATATGTAAAAACAGTTTCTTTTACAATAGATGAAAGAAAAAAAAGCGTACGTATCTGATATCGGTCATAATGAATTATTTCACAATCTCTATTGTTACCGGAGCTTTCTATGTCTTTTAAGAAAGGGGCTTTTTTATTGTATTCAAATTTGACACATAGTATGCGAATTAGAATAGATTAGAATATGGATAAAAGTTGTTGATTCCTTTTAATTCTGATGTTCATGTATTAGACGAGAAGATGTTTTGTCCAACTTGCCGCCATCATCAGCATCAGCATCAGCATCATTTTAATTTTTGGGCAAAGTTATAATCTCTCTTTCAATTTTCCTCTGCATCCAGCTTTCAATATTCAATGCACACTCTTTGGACTCTGTCCCAACTATAACTTGCCAACTGTCTTCTACTACACACACATACAAACACATTACACACAACCCCCATTACATTAAATGCTTCACCTCTTCCTCCCTCGATTTTGATAGTATATAGTATGTCCTAAGATCATAACAATTTCCTGCCTGAACTCCAACGCACACAACAAAAACAAATTCACTAACCAACACGCACACACACAGTCACAAAAAACAAACAGAGCAAGCGGTGCTGACCGGACCCGGAAAGTGAATATGGCACCGGCGTTTTTCCCCTCCTCATCGCGTACAGTTTGTGTCATGGATGCCTCCGGCCGGTTGGGCTCTGCCTTGGTTAAGAGGCTGTTGAAACGTGGTTATACCGTTCATGCCGCAATCCAATCTCAAGGTATTCCCTGTTTTTTCCCCTGTTTTTTTTTCCCTTACATATCAGAATTCCGGAGTCCTGATTAAATTTTATGTTATCATTAGGTGATCAATTGGGATGGTTTAATGGAATCACTGGTGAACAGAGCAAGAATCTGAAGATTTTTCAGGCTGACCCATTTGATTATCATAGCATTCTTGATGCATTGAAGGGCTGCTCTGGCTTGTTTTATTCATTTGAGCCTCCTCGGGATTACTCTGCATATGATGTACGTATTATTCATTTAGGCCTCTTTTTTTTTTTTTTTTGTTTTCATCCCAGTAATAGGCTTTTCTTTACACATTTTAATGTAACATGTCCAAATTTGTTTGTGATTCTTTTCGTTCTATCTATAGTGCACAACATAAACTAAAAATTGGTTTAAATTGTGCATTATAAATAAGAACGGAAGGTGTGACACCGTTGAGAAATAAGAATTAGTTCCAGTTGGGTCACTGACCAGAGTTTTGTAACCCAATTGGGTCTTTGACCTTTCATTTTCTTGTTTCGGTGTCCAATTACTATTTTATTAAGGGGGTTACTCAAAATTGCAAGTCTGGTTGTTTTTGGGGGAAACAATAAATAAAATAATGTAAGTTTGGATACTGGAAGGGTAAATGGTCCCAGGAATCAAATGGTTACAGAATTTGTATTTTGTCACCAACAAGGAAAAGTCTGAAAGAAATAATTTCGTGTTACATAGGGTCTCCTAGGTTTTACTAATCCAAGTCCAAAACCATTTCTTTCTAATTTGTCAACTCCATGTTGTGTTCACATCCATAATTTCTTTATAAAAAGTCGAAACCATAGGTTTGTAATACTTTTCTGCTAATGACTTTTTTTTTCCTCTTAAACCTAGAGTTTTCTGGAAATATTAATATTGATTATCTATCCTAAACTAATAAATTTGGAAAACATGACAGGAAAATATGGTTGAAATAGAAGTAAGAGCAGCACACAATGTGGTGGAAGCATGTGCACAGACAGAAACAATAGAAAAAGTTGTCTTTACATCCTCAGCTGCAGCAATCATTTGGAGAGATGATCAATTATCATCAAACTCATGTACTGAGTTGGACGAAAGACATTGGAGTGACATTAACTTGTGTCGTAAATTCAAGGTACTACTTAGCCACAAATTAATTGTTTCTTTTTTTTTTTAATTGCACGTAATACACATTACAAGTGACCAAATACACATATGTGAATGTAGTTGTGAATTCATTTAGCTGAATTATTGAATTTCCACTTTGTTTTCCGGGCGATGTTACAGTTGTGGTACGCCTTGTCGAAAACTCTAGCAGAGAAGACGGCGTTAGCGCTGGCGATGGACAGGGGATTGAACATGGTGTGCATCAATGGCGGACTGTTAATGTGCCCGGATCAACTATCCATCACGAACCCTTACCTAAAGGGAGCGCCGGAAATGTACGCGAACGGGGTGCTCGCCACCGTCGACTTGCGCTTCATGGTGGATGCTCACATTTGCGTGTATGAAGGTATCACCACATATGGTAGATACTTGTGCTTCAATCATGTCATCACTAGCCCTGAGGATGCAGTCAATCTTGCAAAACTTATATCACCCCCTTCCCTCTCACAGCCTCAAAGGTAATTAAGCTTATCTGGTTTGTCTTGAATGAGTTTTAAAATCAGGTTTTGAAGCTTCCATTGTAGTTGTAGTAATCCAAGGCTACAGGGTCGAAATCAGATACAACATCGCGTGACTCAATTTGGGCCCATTGAGGGTACTAAGACAACCTAATGTCCATATTAGGTGGCTTAATCAAAATTTGAATAAACGATGTTGTATCCGATCTTGACCCTTTAACCCGACTATAAATGATTAGTACGTTAAGAAAACTGTATGATCGATCTTATAATGATTCTCGGGTTTGATTGTTGTTGCAGTTTTGAGGAGCCGGAAGTGAATGGAAGGATAATCCAGCAGAGAATAAGCAACAAGAAATTGAACAAAGTAATGGTTGATTTTGAGAGTGGATCATAATCTCAGCTAGCTGATTGATTGAAAAGCGAGAACTAAGAATTCAATGTACTGGTATCCTTAAAAACAATTATTGGGATCCAGAGCTGTTTAATATGATGGTGAAGGACATGATTCTAGGATTCTGATGAGGACAAAATGGAGAATATAGGCAATTTAAGCATCCAAAAGGATAATTGTAACTGTCTATATTACAAAAAGTCACAATTTGGATCAAACTCCCCCATTCAATTATTCTAATATATACTAGTGGATTTGTTCTTTATCTATTCCAAAATGTTCATTTCCCAAACAAACTATTGAAGTCAACGACCTCAAAAAAAAGGTTAGGATATATTGGTAGTATTTGGAGGGATTTACTTTTGTAAGGTTGTGAAAGTACGAACTTTGTTAAAAAGACACTACTGATAGTAATCAACAAATATTTAATTTCAGCAAAATTGGAGAGAAAATTTAGAAGGGCAAAACTCTAAAACAAGTTCATGGGCTCTTGATAGAAATAGCTTGAGACAACCCAAAATAAATATTTATTTTGAAGGAGGCCCAAATGTAGATTTTGGGGGACAACTGAACGAGCTTACAGTAACAGATCTATCATGGGCTCATGGGCAGTTATAAGTTGGACAAGGCCGACGTTAAGGTTATTTTGATGTAGGACCAAAATTAGATTGTTGAAAATTGAACCAAGTTTACAAAAATAATAAACTCAAATGCTGGTTAATGTTCTGACATCTGTGACTAATTCAAAGGAAAATGATAAATAGTGAAATGGAAGAAGATCACAAAGAACTTATATATGATTGAGACAACTAATTCTGTTGATGGTGTCAGTTATTTGGGTCATGGTTCGAAAGCGGCTTTACGATCTTAAGTAACCTGTTATGAGAAGTATCACCTGAAAATCTGTATCACATTATTTCTAATGATAAAGATAAACGACAATCATAAACAAAGTGAAATGAGATAGGGATAATAACATCATAATTATTAAACTTCACTTTTAATATATACTAACGATATAGGACAATTATATTATTGATGTGTTATATTAATCACTGTGTATATTTTATATTACAAGATACATTATATTCCTTAACAAAAATGGATGGAAACATATTGTCATCCAGTATTTTCCAATCTTGAACCCCATTAAAAAAAAATCCTACCCTCTGTCATGTTAGGATGGAATGGAACATTCTGTCTACAATTTGATTACGCCACTGGGTAACTCACAAGTCAAGTATTTAGGCATTTTATAGACCTCTCTTAAGGGTGCTCCATGATCGCCATGGAATGTTACAAAACATTTCCAGTTGCCTGTAATTTTTCCAAGAAGCAGTTACATTCCTAAAACGTATTCCCTATGTAATTACACATATTCACGATCGTTAAAAGAATGAAAAATTATTTATTCTTGATTCAATGATTTATCCAGCTTCAATTTTCCCCTAAAAAGACCCATCCATTTCTCAATAAACAAAAAATTGGAAAATTCGAAATTCATAATATAGGTGACCGAATGCACTACAAACAATAATTTAAGGGGCTAGCTGTAAATTATCGGGAAAACGACTTTTACCTTTTTCTTTTTTTTGTGCTATTTCTTCTTTCAGTAACTCCGTGACGAAATATTTCATGAATGAGCAGAAATGGCAATCAAATCCAAAATTAGAAATATGCGGATTACAAATTAGGGGATTATTGCTTCTTAGCTCTTCATATCTTCTCGTTTAATCCTCTCTTACTGATTCATCTGGGCTCTTTTCCCAGAATTTGTCTTCAGCAACCTCCTCAAATCTGTAGCTATCGATTCACTGACCCTTTTAAGGTAAGCAGTTTCACATTACAAATCTTAGGTTTTTGGTGAATTTCAGCTAAGTTAGTTGTTTCCTCGTTTATTGAGTTTTTGCTTGCATTTTCTTCCAGAAAATTCGGAATTTCCCAGCCTTTGCAAATCAGTCATATTTTTCTGGGTTTTCATTGTAATAATAAAAGTTCAATCTTTTGCCTGTAGATGCATCACTGTGATTAATTTTGGCTGTGGTAAAGAATTGACATTAAAAGATCCCATTTTGCTGGGAAAATTGCAATGAATGCTCAATTCCTTGACTTGTATCCGTGACCTCTGTACTTTGTCATCAAGATAGTTGCTTTGGTGGTTCGGTGCTGCAGATAATCTGTTTGGTTTATGTTTTGATTATGTTTCGGTGGTTTTTCTGTTGCGTGAGCTGACAGCAGTTGTTCTTCAAATTGGGATTAGTTTGTTTTCTTTGGAATTATAAGTTTAAAAAAAAGTAGTTAGTATCACTTGGTGATGGAATATCATCGAGAGAATTCGTTCACCAGTGGAAACGTTGTCCAAGTTCTGTCTGGGAATCCTGGAAATGGAGTCGGTGGAAATTGGGGGCGTTTACCTGCTGATCAGGGAGTTTGGGCAACTGACGATGATTATAGGGTTTGGAGTCGAGAAACTTCAGTTGAAACCAATTCAAACTCAAATTTTGATGTTAGGCAGTCACAGTCAGGGGGTGAACCACCACAAAAGAAATCTAGAAACTCTCAAATCGAGGATCTGAGTGCTAGCAACCGATCAAAGGCAATAGGGAAAATGTTCTATAAGACCAAACTATGCTGCAAGTTTCGGGCTGGGACTTGCCCCTATGTTACTAATTGTAATTTTGCTCATAGTATCGAAGAACTGAGGAAACCACCTCCTAATTGGCAAGAGATAGTTGCTGCTCATGAGGAAGAAAGGGCAATATCTATGGAGCCCCGGGAAGAATTTCAGATACCATCTCTGGTGGGTGGTGTGGAATCTCAGAGAAACTATAAAGGGCGACACTGCAAGAAGTTCTATACTGAAGAAGGTTGTCCATATGGCGATAATTGTACATTTCTTCATGACGAGCAGTCCAAAGCTCGAGAAAGTGAAGCAATAAGTTTGGGGCCAGGAACTGGAGGTGGATACAGTAATAGTCCAACAGCAGTAAATTTGAAGCCTTCAAATTGGAAAACAAGAATTTGCAACAAGTGGGAAATGACAGGTTATTGTCCATTTGGAAACAAGTGTCATTTTGCCCATGGAGCTGAAGGTACAAATGGATTTTCCTTTTCTCATTTGCTCATAGATATTTTGATATCTATTCATGGACTTGTGTGATGTTCCTATCCATCATTATTTACTTTGAATCATTCTTGCTGTTGGAATTGCATTTGGTCTTGTTTCATTGAATGCTAAAGCATGAATAGGCTAGTTTTACTTTTTCTGGTGTCAGAGAAGGTACTTCTCCCGTAGTGAAGTAGTCTCCCTATTGGTCTTGATATCCGTCCAAAACATGTATGTATCAGTGGTGTAACATTGTTTTTGCACACGAATGTGTTTAGGACCTTTTTGGCGGATCTCCAACTTGCAGTGTATTTATAAGATTTTGATATTACCCTGTTCATGTAATTGGCTGTAAGAAATATATGATGCTCTTATATGATTAGTTTCATGGTTTGCAACAAAAAAATTTTCTGTTGGCTGTTGATCCTCATCCAACCTTCATTCTTATTCTGGGTTTAAGACCTGAAACTCAGCCTTGCTATCGGCTGCCTGTAGGTTGGGGTCTGTCTTTGATCTATTGTGAATAAATGGCAGTATGTCTATTCGAGTCACAAGATGGTTTATTGCTTCAAAGTTAGCTACCCCTGTTCCCGCAATATGCAATCTAGTGCAGTCATCCAACTTATGTCTCACAGATGATGCGAGCTGTAAACTGGCCTTTAGTATTGCTGATACCTGTATTATTTCATGCAGTTTGTAAGTGGGTCCTTGTTTCTATGTGCTGATAGGATTCTGAATAAGGTCATTGAGTCATTGATTTCTGTGTTTGCTCGTACCCCGTTTGGGCATTGTGATGATAAAATGAAGTCTCTACTGTCTGAAGTGGCAGCTATTGGAATGAGACTATCTGTCTCTATCGATCAGATATAGTTGTTTAATGCAAAGTGTTTCTGTACCAACCAAGGTTGTCTCAAAAAATATAAAGATAGGATCTTTTGAAACTAAAACCAGGCAAAGGGAAGAGGGTATCTTGTGTGTGCTCGTGCAAGTGCATGTCTTTGTATGAGAGAGGGCCGGAATGGGGCATGGCGTGATTTTATTGTGATGTTCTGTAGTTTAGTTTCTTACCCCCTCTGTTGTTCGTCTAAGAGAAATTGAGAACTAAATTTGTCTTGTGGTATTGCTTGTTCGCCAACTGTCAGTTTGATTGGTTGCTAAAATTATGCTCTTTGTGTGAAATGAGGAACTATTTTCTGAACCTTTCATGGGTGTTTCTTTGTTGGAAATTGTCTGCAAGTGTTTGCATTTAGTACATGTCTCTGCACTTGGTAGGAAAGGTCTTAAAATGTCATTAAAAGGATAATGAAAGAACTTATATTGTGATATCTACCTTTCCTGGTAATTTAACTTGAAAGTCTTGGTTGCAGAGCTGCATCAATTTGGTGGGAGTGGTGCGGAATCGGAATTGGCGACGACGCCATCTGAACCAAAGCAGGGGGCAGTGCCTTCGAAAACTCCAGTTGATGCTGTAGTTGGAGCTTCGACACCTTTGCCTCATCCAGACGGTTACCATGTTGGAGTTCCTGCACAGAAGTTATCAAATATGATTCAGAAGAGTGGGCCGAGACCCCATCTGAAGTGGAAGGGTCCAGACAAAATCAGCAAAATATATGGGGATTGGATCGATGACCTTGAGTAGAGACTTCAGATTTTCCTGAATGCTTGGTAGGAAACAAAAGCTTGGCTGTGTTCTGAAAAGTTAACTTAAATGATGAGAATTAGCTTTGTACCTTGAAGTTTGCAGTACTTGAAAGTGTTGTACCTTAGTGTATAAGCAAAAGGATGGATTTGTGTATTGTCACCTGGAAGTTGTGTCTTTGAATGTTGTATTCAGCAATTATATAGCTAGTCTGCCATCCAACTTTTGTTTTGTTTTGTTTTTTCTTTCTTTTTTCTGTACCTATTTTGATTCTGATTTTGTTTCCGTGGTCACAAATCTGCTGTCCAGCATTTTCACAGAGGACTTGCTTTGGATCCTTGAAGAGGTTGCAGGGTTCGACTCAGAGTAGCAATTTGTGACGCCTAAACGAATATATAATGAAAAAAACTCAACATTTACCGTAGTAACAATGTATGCATAATAATTTGGAAACTTCCTCATGATAATAAAACAACGTGAACATTGTAACTTTATGGTAAAAAATGTTATCATCTGTATTTTTTATTTCTCGACCTACAATACAAATACAAGATTATGACCTAGAACGTGGTTTAGGGTAGTGATTAAAGTTGTAAAAATACTCATTTGGTGGGTACAACTTAGAAGAAGCTGCTAATAGCTTAACATTAGATCAAAAAGAAAGAAAATCCCATCTCACCTTTTTTTCTCACAAAGAATCGCTCTGAAGAAGAACAAAAATCAACGAACCTTGGGCTAATTCTGAGTGAACCAAAAAAACATCACAATATTTGACCACGTACCAACACGTACAAGCTCCCTCCATCTTTCTCTCCTTCTCTTTAACCAAAAACTTGCAAAAAAAACCAAAATATCTCACCAGACAAGAAAATCTCCCCACTTTCACCCCCACACAAATGAATCGGACTCGTCAACTTTTTCCTCTTTTCTTCTTCCTTCCCCCGTTTTTCATGTTTCAATACATTTCCTCTGCTTTTGTCTCATCCTCACAAACCAAAAAAACGCCGTCGACGCCGCCGTCAACGCCGGACAAGTCAATTTCCGGTTCCGACCAACTCTTGTTCCAAGGAAATTCCTACTCCATCATCACCTCTGTCAATTTTCAGCCGGGAATATTATAATGTCGTCCCAAAATATCCAGCACCCAGATCCAACTCATGAAGCACACGCCGCCCCTCCGATTACAGTAGTCATAACAATCATCATTCTCCTTTTTTTCTTCGTGGGATTTTTCTCCCTCTACTTTTGTAGATGTTTCTTGCAGAATTTATTATATTCTTGGCATCTCCGGCACAGTCCGCCAGGCGGCACCCCTGTTGTTCCGGCAGGCCCACAAACTCCGACCGGAATCGACCCAAAGATCATTCAGTCATTTCCGACATTCACGTATTCAAGCGTCAAGGATTACAGAAAAGAGAAATACGGCCTGGAATGTGCGATTTGTCTGGTGGAGTTTAGCGACGATGATGTTCTTCGTTTTTTGACAGCGTGCTGTCACGTATTTCATCAAGAGTGCATCGATTTGTGGCTCGAGAAGCACAAAACTTGCCCTGTTTGTCGACGGAGCCTCGACACGACCCCCGAATCGCCAGAGAAATCACCGATTTCTTTCAACCACGCAATGCAATTGATCAACGGAGAAGATGATCATCATTCGTCGCATCATAGTTTTTGTATATCCATCAAGGACGAAGAGAATGATCAATTCAATGGCAGCGCCGGCCGGGAAAGGACAACGTCGGTTACCGGAGCTGATCATCGTCAGATTCAGCGAATTAAAGGGCTTGACACCAAGTTTTCGAGATCGCATTCAACAGGGCATTCGATTATTAGGAGGGATAATGAAAGAGGAGAAGAAGAAGAAGCAGAGGATAGGTTTACGTTGAGATTACCGGATCATGTTCATGCAAAAATTATTAGGGGACACAATTGGAGCAGAAGTTGCACCACTTTTGGGGAATTCAATTGCAAAGAAAAGAAAGGAAATGGTGGTTTTGGAGAAGTTTCGGGGTTAGCTAGTACTGCAGAAATGCATGAGCAGAGAGAGAGTAGAGGATGATCAGTACTTTGTTTTTCTTTTTGGTTTTTGTTCTTGGCTCCTCCTCTCTGTTATCTTTCTTCTTCATTAATTCCTTGTTAGCTCTATAGAACAGTAGATTAATGTTAAAACTCCTAAACTTTGTTTCTAGTAGTATATAGTCTTACAATTGAGGAAGATGCCATCATCAAAGTTAATGATATTGGTGCTGAAAATTGAGAAAATATATGCAGATTTTTGCATGGCACATGCACACCATCATTTCCTTCAGTCATTTCTTTAGAATATCAATGGCAATTTTCGATATACCCTTTATATGATTTGAACCCGTGATGTAATGAAATTATAAGAGATAGACTCTCACTATGTTAAACAAACATGCTAGTCAATCCTTGTATGGGAATGGAATTGTAGAATAACAAAACTCCGATAAGAAAAGTCCTAAAAAGTGTTACATTTTTTTATTTTATATATTGGGAAAGCATAACACTTGGCTTATAAAACAACTCCGTAGGGGGAGTTGGGCTATCTAGAGCTAATTTTTTTAGGATTAGTGACGAGAGTGTTACCAAAATATGTACCCCGTCCAAAAAGTGTTACATTAGTCAAGTAGGAATGCAGAACTCTGGTTTACTATATGCATCCATCCTGTATATATCCATCCATCTGTAGTAGTAAAAAGACTAGGAACTCTAACTTGATTGTCCAATCTTGCTTGCAGAAAAATCAATGATCAGGCCCATTAGTCCATAACCAAGTCATCCATGTGTGAAACCTGGGAAGCATAAGAACTATTTTACGTATGGTCAGGCATTCAGGCCCAACCTAACAGGAATTAACCCAATCACATTATTCAGGACGAACCATTTTTTTTTAAATAAAAAATAAAAAAGAATAAATATCAGATGTCTCATATAAGGAAGTGAAGCAGACAGCTAATTTTGCTTTACTAGATTTGCTTACGAATGAACTTTTACACTGCTTTTGGAAACTGTACACAGCACATAGGCTTTGAGGCATGCAACTGTTTTGATCCCCTTCTCTTCTCCCCACACCACCCCCAAAACTGCCACATTCCATATAATCCAAAGGCCACAAATGGAATAGTGACTGAATATATGGATTTCACATGCATTTGCATGTTGAGTTGCCGATTGCATAAGCAAGACGACTATATCAATATTTCAGTACAATACTTGTCAAATAGTAGGAGATTTCAGTACCATACAAACTCATAGATCTTGAGGCTTAATTTATTAGATGACTAGTTTGAACTGTATGACACCCTATTAACAAGATAAGTAAAAGAGTAGTGCTTGTTTAGCATCTTTCTAGATTGTTTCTTATCTACTTAATTACGCACTAAGAAGCGGTAACTAAGTGAGAGACGCAACCTCATAACTTATCGTGACTTATTCAGATCCGGCTCACACTCTCGTAATCCAATGGATATTTAGTTTTGAATTTTTTTTTAAAAAAAATTGAAATCAAAAGGGCTGAAAAGCTAAATGGTCAATTGTGTATTATTGGGTCCAAAAAGTAAAATTAAAGAGAGATTTTTCAGTATTATTGAGAGAAAAAAAAAAAAAAAGAGAGAAAACAATAAGTGAATGATTGGGGGGGAAATATGTGTACTTTCCAAGGGGAAGCTGGTCATCACATGGAATCCTCTGCAAGAGTCTCTGACAGGTTGGACCATGGTCCAAGCAGCACCGAACCAGAAAGGCCTTTCTATCATCACTCATATCAGTTCCTCTTCTCCCAGATAAGGGTACGGTTCCCCAGTGTGTTCCTGCTTTGTTTCCCCCTTTTCCCTCCTTCCTTATTCTGACATCATTATTCATTTTCCTCTGCCTTGGTTAAGTCCATTTGCGGAAAACCATACATGTACATTTTCTTTGACTAGCTTTATGGTTTAGTTCACTGTGTATCATTATACAGCGACTAATTAGTTATCGTTGTTAACGGTAAATATATAAATACACGGGAAAAGAAAGCTTGATTTGATCATGATGGATGATTTTGTAATCTACATAAATTTGTTAATAGGTAGCTTGATTATCAAACAGATATTCTCTAATATTGAGGAAATGAAAGAAAATGAATGTATAATTTGATTGAGCAGACAGTTGGAATGTAGTGCTTAATATATGAGGAAGATAATGAATCAAGATAATGAATTGGAATAAAATGATTAGTGTCGGGAAGATGATGAATCAAGATAATTTTCGATGATGAATCAAGATAATGTTATCATCACTAATTCGATGATTTGTTCTGATTTCTAGTTGCCTCTAGGAATAACAACATCAAAATCAAATAATTCTTCATATTTGTCGATCCTTAATTAAACCAACTTCAAATCATAGACTATATAGGTACTCAAATTCCTTGGATCAGGGTTAGTGTGATTAGACTAATTTATCAATGCTTGAACACATCATTACATATTCATATTTAACTCTTTAGAAAACAAAGGACGCGTGCCCTAATTTTATTCTTTGGCACAGAAATTAATAAAATGTCTATGATGAACATGGATCTAATTATGCTCTAGAAGATGAAGTCCAATGCGTAAAATGGTTGTCGGGTATAGTTTCTCTTCTACGTCAATTCAAAATTATCACCCTCTTTTTGGGACACAAGTCGATAAATCAAGAGAGCCAATAAGGTTTATTCAATTCAAGAAAAGGTATTCTTTCTTGACGGAAAATCCGAAAATGTATTGCTCTTTTGAAAAGCTCGTCTTCAAGATAGATATTTGGGCAAGATGGTGGACAAAAATCTGTAAGTTTGTGTATGCTAACAACAGGATTTTTAAAAAATCAAAATTTACAATATACTTCATTTTGGGAGCCAAAAAAAAAAAAATGTAATGAGAAAATTATGAGTAAACTTGTGATTCGAAGAGCTACAGTTGTGTAATCGTAAACTCCAAACAAAAATAAGAACATCTTGCCATTTTGGTGGTGACTTGTGACTTGTTTCGATGCATTTATTCATATATTCCCTTCATCAGCATCCATGCATATGTATTATTCTTGACACACCACACTCAAATTTATGTTCTCTTTATTTCCAGTACGTCTATTTTTTTTGGTCTCTGTTATTTACGTAACACGATTTTATGTCATCCCATGATCATAAGGTTCTTAAAAACATATGCTTTCTTTTTGAAGCAACAAATTGATTAGATAAGCAAATAGAATGAACCAGAAATGGGGTGATGATCTCATTGTACATCAATCATCACGCAACACTTCAAATCAGTCATCATTTGTTCCATAGAATCTTCAAATTACACAGTTCAGACGGTTTAGATTAGATTCCTGGTAGAAATGATGAATGGGTATGTATCCAACGTATATGTATTACAGGACAAAGCGTATTATTAATGATCACTGTGCGCTTGAAACAACAAGCATTCCTTTCACACAATATATATATATATATATATATATATATGGGTCAGTTTAATTATGACCATGTTTCAAAACATGGGAAAAATATCGGTACTGTGATTAATTAGCAGATGATGTGGTTAGCATTGCCTCCCGAGAGCAAAAAATGACTTGGTTAAGTTTGGATTAATTGTGATAGTACATTCCGATATCAGATATATTCTCACTAACAAAATTCAGCCACATTGAGTTTACTGAAAATTGTTAAGAACAAATTTTGATTTAGTAAAGATAAATTATTTTTCTGAGATGGAATTAGTATAATATATTTGTTCTTACCTCTTTTTGGTTTTTGTAAGTTTAATTGTTGGGAGGTGAGAGTCAGAGTGACCTACGTTTTTCAATGCATGCAACTCGGTGCATACTTGTTTTTTAGTTACAGTTCTAAAGAATAGACGTAACAAAGGCAACCTTTCCAATTTTCGTGTGGACATCTACGTTTCAACAATGTAGGACTTAAAAGGCCCCTTTCCATTAAAAAAAAAAAATCCCTCCCTAATGCCCTCTTCTGATCTTCTCTAGTCAAAAGAACATGTCCTCCACCCCAAGGGACACAAGAAGAGACCTCCCTCCAAAAGGGATATTGTTGGAGTGATAGGCATTGTTTTGTTATCCACAATTTTACATTGCCACCCTCACTAACTAGATAGCTTTCACACACACACACACACACACATTCTCTCTCACACACACACATGTTTAATAGTATACATGTAGGAGTATATATGCATGGTTCTCCTCGATAAGGTTGAAGCTTCCAAGTTTTGCCATGTAATCAGCAAAGATTTTGGAGATATTCAAGCATTACCATTGCGGTTAAATTTCTTTTGTAGGCCATTTGCATTTCTAGCCCCTCGCATTCTTAAATAGTGTCATGTCAGTTCCTTCGAATTTTGCTTGTTTAATTTACATATTTTTCAGTCACACTCTCTTAAAGAGACATATGACTAGGAAAAGACTTGTCATATGATCGAGCCACATCAAACTTCATAGATAGGGATATAAAAAAATAAATTACGGTCAATGAACACACTACTTGTGAAGGAGTAACGCATCAGAGAACATCCATATCAGTAATCAATTTTTCTCGAAATTATTCCAAGATAAAAAAACTAAATTGTTTATCACAAAATGCTCGATTCCACTTAAATGTGAGTAGAACTTGTTATTAAAATATTGGCAGGCTAATAAAAAACGCAAAGTAACTACATTTGAATGATCACTTGTGATTATCATGATTAGAGGTTTATCACTCTTCTTATTAGAGATGTGCGATCCATTGTACTAATACTTCCAACCCAAATAGTATAAGGGCTACTCTAGATAAATTAGAATAAATGGAGGAAACAACTATAAAACTACCCTTTCTCTTATGGTAAGGGCAAGCGGTGAGCCCGTCGTTCCTCGCAAAAGATTATTGAAAAAAAAGGTAAAATGTAAAAAAATTACAAAAACATATTGAAACTTGGAACGTGAAGGGTAGCTTTTGCACAGCTTGTTCTCTTGTTTTTATGCATATTTCTACATAGATTTTGGGTCCCCCACTCTCCTCAGTTTTTGCAGACACCTTGGCAGTATGTTTTGACAGCATCTCTATCAGAGATTGGGAACCTCCCAAAACACACCTAAAAAACCCTTGTTGTTATTCTTATCATTTTTTTTTCTTTTGGTGCTTATGTTACTGTGTGACTGTGTGTTTTCTAGTTTAATCCCTCTGGTCAAATTGTGTTTATGTTAAAAGATGAAATTCCCTAGGGTTAAGTAAGTATAATACCAGTAGTAACAAAGTTCATGCACGTGAGAGAGTCCACTGTGTAAGTCTTACTACCAAGTTTTGTTGCCTTTCTTTTTTCTTTCTCTGCATCTCAAAAAGTGAATGAAAAGCAAGAAAAAAAGAAGAAGCCCTTTCTCCTAATCTTCTCTTAAAAAGTTTAAAAAGAATGGGGTTTTACTTTTTTTCATGAAAGCAGTCATTTCTAATGGTTGGGCAAAATCCCCAAAAAAAACAAACCAATTCTTTCATAAAAAAAAAAAGTCAAGAAAAAGTAGTATATATATAGATATAGATATAGATATATATTGGGAGAGAGTAGTATTGGGAAACTCATTGTTTGGGTTTTGTGTTTGTGTAATCTATTTCCATCAGTTTTTTCCAGCTTCAGCCCACAAAAGCAACTTCATCAAAAGAAAAGAAACAGAGTGAGGGAAGAGGATGGCTTTAGAAACTCTTTCTGCCAATGAACTCTTGAATTTCATCATTTATGACACCATTTCAGCCACCCCTTTTGCTTCTTCTTCTGCTTGCAATGTTGACAACTCTTCTGAAAATGCCACCACCAGTGCTACCACTACAACAACTACTACTACTACTACTTCTAATGTGAACAATTTTTCATTGGACTGTGAGGTTCAGGGTTTCGGGGCGGCGGTGGCCCAAGTGGTGGTTGGTGGCGGTGGTGGTTTTGAGAATTGTCCTTCCATGGTTCCGCCGCCGCCTCCGCCTCCGCTTCCACCACCGCCGAGGCAGCAGAATCTGTCGGTGGCTCAGGGGCGGAAGAAGAGGAGGAGGAGGCAGAGGGTGTGTAAAAATAAAGAGGAAGCAGAGAATCAGAGGATGACTCACATTGCCGTTGAGAGAAACCGGCGGAAACAGATGAATGAACATCTCGCCGTCTTGCGTTCTCTCATGCCTGAATCTTATGTTCAAAGGGTATACTTAAAATCCATTCTTTAACCAATTATGAAAGCCATTTTTCAATTTTTGTTTTTTTTTTTTTCTGGGTTTCTTTGATGGTTTTCCCCTTTGGTACAAGGTTTTGAATGTTTGTAATTAAGGCTTGCATTTAATGTTTCTCTGGCATTTCATTCTTCAATTAGTTGAGGAAAAGGTTTGTTCTTTGTTCCTTGTTCATGTCTCTGCAAAGATTCGTAAAGACAGCATGCATTTGCACGGGATTCAAAATTTCAGTAGTAGTATAGAGATATAATCCCCCGGAATGAGACAGGCTTTTTAATAATCAGGTTGGCCTTGTGATATTTATTTGATGATGATGAAGATTCCCATCATTTATTAGTTGCTAAATTTAATTTCTTACCATTTTGAGAATTGATATGACAAATCCTTTGGCTCACTTTTGGGTGTCTTTGTGGATTTCTTATTCGTATTTTATTCTAATCTTTGTCCTTAAATGTGTGTCTTTTCCTCTCTAGGTCAAAGACATAATAATTAAAGCATGTTCTAGAACTGGAATTCAACTCTTTCTCTCTGTGTGTCTTTCTTTTCAACTACCTTTTTCTTCCCTAAAACACAAATTGATTACTCCACTGTTATGTTGTAACTCTTCAAATCAATTAAACACCCTTTAATTTGAGAAACAATGACAAAGTTTTTCTCATATTATATATATTGCAGGGTGATCAGGCCTCTATAGTTGGAGGAGCAATAGAATTTGTGAAAGAGCTGGAGCATCACTTGCAAGCCCTTGAAGCCCACAAGATTCAACTGATGCAACAACAACCAACAGGAGGAGGTGTAGGAGCAAATGACACCGCCACCGCGGCGGCTAGCTGTGTCACTGCCACCACAACTAGCAGCACCCCTTTTGCTCAATTCTTTGCCTACCCACAATTTACTTGCTCATCATCATCATCATCATCATCATCAACAGCATCTTCCTCTGCCGGGCAGATGCCAATGAAGTTCACATCAAGTAGTAAGGCAGCAATTGCAGATATTGAGGTCACTTTGATTGAGACTCATGCAAACGTTAGGATCCTGTCTAGGAGAAGAGTTAGACAACTATCAAGATTGGTGACTGGACTTCAGAGCATGTGTTTAAGTATACTTCACCTCAACGTCACCACTTTGGACCCTTTAGTCCTATACTCCATCAGCGCCAAGGTATGCTGTACAATGTTCACAAGTTTTAGTTTTTTTTTTTTAAGTATTAAGTACCATATCTACGTTCATTAGGAGCATACTTAAACCCAGCAAAATTGATATTTTGTATCAACCACAAAGTGTCGCTAGAGGTTTCTCTAATCATCATTAGTTTGATGATGATGAGTATTTAGTGTCTTCTAATTTGTTGTTGAAATGAGCTTTCAATTGATTCTTCACCCTTGATGTAAAAGAAATGGGGAAATGTGAGTAGCATTCTTATGGAAAATGTATCACTTTCATGGATATTGCCAAAATTCTATGCTGAAAATGACTAGAGAATGCAATGAGCCTCTTTCATTGGTTGGTGACAAGCTACAGTTCTTAGAACTGTTCTAAAGGAAATTATGGTCAATCACTGTTTAAAAATTCTGGAAATTTGCACTTTCATCCATGTAGTAGTATTTTGTGTTTTGGGAAAGGAACCTTAAAATTGGGGTTTTCTTTCCATCCCTTTGAAGTTATATGTATAAAATGTGATGTATGACCATAAATTTATCCATATTGATCACTTTAACTGTTTAACATTGCAAAGGGCCACTGTTTTACATAACACTTTATTCTTCACCATTAAACGAGACAAATGGAGTAGTTTATTATATCAAAAATTTCAAAAGATTGATTATGGTGCCTAATTTGATTTTTGGGAATTCATATGTTTTTGTTGCAGGTGGAAGAAGGGTGTTTACTGAATTCAGCGGATGACATTGCAGCTGCAGTTCATCATATACTTAGAATTATTGAAGAGGAAGCTCTCCTATGTTGTCAAGCCTAGTTTTTTAACTGGTTAAATTAGCTGTAGCTGCCTATAGCTAGGGCATTCCCAGTACGTTTGGGTAGTTCTGGTAGCAACGATGTGGTAGTAGTTTTCAGTCAAACATCTCCTTCTGTTTTCTTGTGTTACTTTATTTTTTGTTTGGGTCCTTATATGTAGGAAAGGTTGTAAATTTGGTAGAGCAGTTGTATCAAACGTGAATAAGTGACTAATAAATTCTTTTGTTTTCCTTTGTTTTCTTCTACTTTTCTAGTATTTTTTGCTGTACTATTTTAATTTTGAAAACAATATATGGTCTACTGCTTCAAGTATTAGCCATGTACAGTTTTAAGTTTTGTAAGGAAAATCACATTATGGGTAAAATATTAGGGTTTTGATGCTTTACTAATTATAAGAAAATAAACACCTGCTCGTCTGCTCGATGACAAAATGTCACATTATTGAAGTTATATTATTCCATCCGACCCCAAGATAAGTTTAAAAAAAATCTAGTTTGTTGAATAATTCTAAGACAAAAACATGAATACATGATGCTTCATTAATTTGCCCTTCTTCTCAGGTTGTGTATAGTTGAGAAATGGGAATGAAGTACAGACAACTTTGGTCAAAGAACTAAATAGTACATGGAATAGTAGTTTTATGTGATAGTGTTAACTGTTTTTTTTGGCGGACTGACTGCTTTCTGGGATTAAAAATAGCATTGTATTCCCCCGTTCTACAAAAAAAATAATCTAATTTTAGGAATTAAAATATTTTATTTAATACTTCAATTTGAAAAATTAACTTATCGAATATAGTTTTCCAAATTTTTTTTATTTTTTTTTTATTTTTTTTTAAGAACTGAAGGAGTAACATAATGTAACGAAAGTGATATGGCAAATAGTAGAAGTTACTGCTGTGATTTACCGTCTTCCTTTGATGCACAATTGCACATCTCTCCCCGTGTTCATATAATGAAATAGACTAGGTGGGCAGCTTAGCTACACCCTATAGGCTACAGCTATTGCCTCACTTTTAATTTGTGGCTATTTTTAGTACCTCTAGATTCACTAGATTGGGATGTGTTTGGTTTATTTCTAAACTCCTTGATTGAAATTGACTTGTGACAGGAGGACAAACATTGTAGGTATCTATCTAATTCAATTTAAGAGTTCAGATTTGAAGTACTTGGGACCAAGTTGTAAAATGAATTGAACCTTACATAAATATGTAGCAATGATAAAAAGAAGCTTAATTATCTTACTCTCGAAATCAGATTAAAAATCAATGAACAATAGTTTCATACACAAAATAGATATTCTTTCGGTCCCAAAATTATTATATAGTTTGAGATTTCCTTCTAAATACATGTTAAACAAATTGTAGAGAATTGGCTCAAGTATTCAAGTTACGTTTTTTCTTTGTTTCAACAAAGAGAACTCTTATTTTGACAAATCTTCTAAAACAAAGTATATATGTTGTACTCACCCAAAATCCAAGATTATTATTACATCTATTTGATCGACATGGGCTAGGAGGAAGTATTGCTAGGCGTGCATGCATGTATGAATTATGATAGGTCAAATTCTGAGAGTTTCTTTAAAAAGGCTATTGACTTTTTCTATTCTTTCTCTAATTTTTTCTGAGAAGAATAATTGAAACCCAAAGAGACCGGTCTAGCTAGAAAGGTGTTGTAGCCAGCATCTTTTTACTGCCAAAAAGATGATACATAGCTGTTGTGTATGTAAGTATATATACGTATATCTATACTGTGTGACTGTGTGTGCATGTGGTCCGTTTGGCCACAAATTATAATTAATCAATTCGATCTAGTTTTATCGAGCCATTGCGGCCACAAAGCTTGCTTTCTCTTCTTTAGTTCGTGGTGTTTTGAGACTTAAGAGTGCACCTTATGCTGCCACATTGTCGTGGATATTACGTCCCAAACTTTTTTTTTACTCCCCCATCTCAAAAAAAATAGACCACATTGAATTTTGAATTTTATATTATTTTTAATACAAATTTGAAAACTCAATATGAAGTATTTTTTTTGAGATGGAAATAGTAATATTTTGTTGATTCGAGCTTGTGAAAGTGTCTCCACTCCTTTGATTAAATCGAGCTAAAAAAAATGGGAAAATAAGGGTAACTAGATGGCTGAAATGAACCCAAAAAAAAAATAATAATAAAAAATTAAGGTAAGAAGAAGAAGAAGAAGAACAAGAAAAAAAAAGGCGGATGCGTACAGAAGGAAGAAAAGGAACAAAATAAGGATTGATTTTAATAATTAATGGCAGAGAGGCAAAATGCCAGATTACAATGATACCTTGCCTTGGGGTATTTTTTTTGTTGGTTAGTGTGGTGATTAACTTGTAGTAGGCTCGTTGATTGTCATTTTGTGGAAACAGATAGAGACGTCCATGGACCCCATCTAATCTAATTATGCAATGATAAAGGTGGACAGCTTAAAAAATAATTTTGAATCAGAGTTTAAAACCTACTGGTTTGAAATATTTGAAGTATTTAGCAAAATTAAAATTTTTGCTTAGAGAAATTAATTAATTTAGGACACTCTTTCCCTTCTATCAATCCTTCAATTTCTTTCCAATACAAAAGTTCATTTATCACTTACTCATTTCATTATAGCGTATGGTGTCTTAGCAGATATGGCTTCTCAAAAAGGGGAATAATCCTTCTTCTTTGTAGGCTTGTAGCATATTAGATACATATCTTGAGTTGTGACTCTAGTTTACAGAAGCATTTTAGAAGCATATTTAGAAGCATCCTTAAATAGGGTATTAATCCTTATTAGAAGCATATTTTTTTTCTTGGAAAATAATATAAGTACCTGGAAAAAAGTGATTTTAATATAATGATTGATACTATTCTCTCATCGGTGGTTTATGTGCTGAAAATAATTAACATTTAAAATCTAACAATAAGCAAAATAGATATTAGTTACTATAATATTTTAGTGTCTCTATTGTTCTTGTTGTTCGAGAGTTCGACATTAGATGAGCTCAAGGTTGGTTCATTTGGAAGCACTTTGATGCTCGATCAAGAAAATTTAGTGTGTTCAAAATGTGGAGAGCAATGTCGAACAAAGTTTTGTAACTATTCTCATTTTTCTATGATTTAATTGTCAGATTCGTAGTTAGATTTTTGGTGTGATACGACTTACTAACTTTGTATAAAATTAATTTGTTTTAGCACACATTTTCATTTAATATTGACTTTCTTTATCAATGATGAAAACTGAAATAACGACTGATTAAGGGCCAACCTCCGCAAGCCTATGAATACAATAATATAAGAAGTGAGCTCTTACTAGTAAAATGTAACACGATGAAAATGAATAATAATGATATTAATTTAATTGAATATCTCAAATTTTATACTAACGTTTTACACACACAAAAAATATTACACAAAATCCATATTGCGTGTAGAAATAGAATCAATTACTCTCCCTCTTCCAAAATTATTGTTCAGTTTGAATTTCATTTTTAGTGCAATTTAAACTAAAAATGAAAATCTAAACTGGACAATAATTTCATTACAGAACTAATGTGAAATGTATCCAGAAATTTCTCATTTAAGTCTCAACTCTCATTTGTTTACCACCCCAGATTACTAACATATAACAGTCAAAAGAGTGGTCAATTATGGATTTCAGAGGTAAAGGAACTAACAAATAATGTATTGAGGATAACTTGCATAGCTGATGACAAGATTTTTAATTTTCTTAATTAGTTCTAAATGCAGCTTCAATATAGTTTTACATTACATAACATCAAATTTTGATAACCATATTGAGCTTGAATTAACTTTGAGGAGTACAATTTACGACTTCAATGAGCACAAAAGCATGAAACTAAGCGGAGAATGTTCATTTCACCTATTCCGTAAAGACCAAAGTTCAAATTGAGTAAGTGACAAATGATTAACATCATTGAACGAAATGCAATTCAAAAAGGAAGAGAATTAGAGGAAAGAAAATCTATTACTGTCTCTGTGATATTACTTTGCATTAATTAATTCTACTGATATAGATTATAGACCCAATCTCGATTGTGGCCAATACAACTAACTAATTAAAACACACATTGGAAGTAAATTTCTACATCTTTACTAGACAATAAGGAGGTAAAACACAGAGTCAGCTGTAGAATATGTAACCTGTTAACTCAAAAAACATGTCTCTCTCAATGGTTTTAGGCTAACTTCCTTACATCTTCCACAACAACTACCACATTCAGACTTAACGACATTATGAAACAACTGAAAGCGCATCCCAAATATTAGTTTGAAGTCTTTCAACGAGTAATGCAGCACATCTCTTACAGCATGAGGGTTCTGCTCCTTCTATGCAAAATCCACCTTGTGTGTTGGCCATGAGGAGTATAATTCCACTGCCCCAAGCCGTCTGCAATCTAAGTTATACTCAGCGAATTCGGCTGAAGTGAGCAAAAGGTTCTGGAGTCTTTTTCTGTGCAGGTTTTGTTGTTGCTGGAGTTCCAAACACATTCCAGAATCTCAGAGTTTCATCACCTGCTGCGGATGCAACCGTGCAGCCATCAGGACTCTGCATATAGACAACAACCAAGGGGAATGTTAAGAAAGGTTCTTGATCATAGGGAAGAATATATTGTGTATAATTTGTACAAAATCGTTTCAAGTAAATTACCTGAGCCATGAAAAGAACTCGAGAAGTATGGCCCCTAAGTTTTGCTAGCTTGCTCATTGCAGGATATTTCCAGAGAGTCAGCTGATTCTGAGAAAAGCCGTGAGCACTAAGCAGTTCTCGCTCATTCTTGTTCCACAGAAGTGCACAAACCTGTGAACCTGTGTCGATCGAGTTCAACAAGGCACCAGTGTGGGTGTTCCAGAATTTGACGCACTGATCCCCTCCACCACCACCTGATGCAAGCAAGTTGGCTTGGAAGGGGCACCAAGCCAGAGCTTTCACAGCAGCTGTATGGTTTTCAAGCCGATGAAGCCATTGTGCTGTTTGTGAATTACAGGAAGATCTATCCCATATGTGAACTAGGTTGTCATTTCCACCACTAGCTAACTGCTGACCAGAATCCGACCATTTTAGACCACAAACTTCTTGATGATGTCCTCTGTAAGTCCCAATCAAATGTGATCTCACTCTCACATCATTGTTATTTATCTGGCCATCCATTCCTCCAGTAGTCAAAATGTGATTGTTCCAGTCAAGAGAACCAACACGCATCTGATGTATACCTTTTAAAGTTCTCAGCTGAATATGAAAAGAGAAACACGATACAACAATGAATTAGCGATGATCATACTATGTGAGGTTAGCAAATTAGAAGAAAAACATCATATCATATCATTCATATCCTACAAAAGGGAGAAAGGAGAGTACCTTTCTTTCAGAAGTAGAATCCCAGAGCTGGACATCAGAATTGTTTAATCCAACAGCAATATGTCGTCCATCAGGAGCCCATCTCACACTAGTCACAGGTCCATCTTCATCATCAATTGTGACAAGTTCTGAGGCAGCACCATTAGATGCATCCCACAAATAGATAGTATTTCCAAGAGCTATTGAGAGTACATTGCTGGAGCCCCAGTCTAATAAATTCAAGTAGAAATCATCTAAAATATCCGGAGCATCGAGCGTTCTCTCAGAAGACTGCAAGAAACAGACAGACGAGCTTATCAAAATTCACTCACTCCACATATAGTGTACTTAAAACAACAAAGTAAAATTCAAAGAAATCCATAAATTCAACAGAAATTTCTGAATTAAATCAATTAAAAAGTGAACCTGAGGGATGGAACGGCGGGGTTTGACAGGCTTCTGTAAATCACTAGTAGTAGTAGCAGTATCTGCAGAGAGGTACCCGGTCGGGAAAAGGTCAACAGGGGTGGGGGCCTTGTTCTTGAAAGCAAGGATCCTGGACCTGTTCATGTTGAAGGTTTCTGCAAGGACTTTACGGTAGGCCTGTTTGGAGGGAGAAGTGTAGGTTTCAGTACTTTTCGGATTCTCTTCAACTTTCCTACCTTCAGTCAACATGTAATGAGCATAATCGAAGTCCATTGCAGACCGATTTGGGATAAATCTATCCAACTGCACAAAACGCTAATTACAGTCAGAATTGGCCTATCATGCTCAAAAATTGTCAAAGAACATGACTAATTCAATCTCTTAATACAAACTTCAGAAAACTTAAATCTTTGAAACACTAAACCCTCTCTAACATACGAATCAACAATTGGGAGATACAAATATAGAAGAGAAATTGATCAAATAAACCAAATGTAAACCGGAAAAAAAAAGAACAGATCAAGAAGGTAAAGACAATTCGGAATCATTCAAACAATCAAAAGTGAGTTAGAAAAAGAAGGGTTTCATACTAGGGTTTTGAAGATTACGTTTTCCCGAGAAGTTTTCCTTCGGAATAGCGTTTTCTGAACAGGGCAAAGGCATCTTCTCTTGATAGAGGAGGAGGACGAGGATGGGCTTGGAGATGGCGTTATCAAGCCCTCCGACGGTGTTTCCGCCTCCATTTCCCTAATACAAAGACTTCACTTCACGCACAAACCAGAATCACGCCTTACAGAACGAATCCCAGACAGAGAAAGAAGCCTCAAACAGGACAGAAAAGCGAAGCGGAGAAAGAACACCTGCAAAAGAACGAAGAATCGAAGTCAAATGAAACGGAAAATTCCCCAATTCTTCTCGCAATCGAGGAAAAGGAAACCAGAAAATAAAGAGCGGAGAAATTTGCGGCTGATCAATGATGGTGGTGAAAACGGCGGCGCCGAGCGATTGGCGGCACTCAGATGAGATTGCCGATAATTCAGAAATTGTAATAACAACAGAGAATTAATTGATGGGAGGAACGGATATTATGGATTGAATGAACAGTAGCGTTAGTTATAACTCTATGTCGTCTTAAACCCAACGGCTCTATATATTTTATTTCGAAATTGTTTTGACCAAACTGCCCTTCCGGAAAAACTGCAACCGCCTTTTTGCTGTTTTCTTCATCTTACAATTAGCATTAGGTTAGTGTTTCACAGTCATAAAAAAAATTTAGTTAAAAAGAAGAAGAAGAAGAAGAAGAAGAAGAAGCATTATTCAAGAGTAACAAGTTTTTGTTAATCTTTTGACCTCAATTGAGGTTTGATGTATGCGGAATTGGAAGGCAGAAGAAAACATCATTTTTTTTTTTTTTTTTTTTGGCCAAAAGAAACCAAAACTGGTAAAACAAAAAAGAAGAATCACATCATGTTTCATGGGGGAAGATCCAAATTTCTTCCCCTTCTACCCATTGAGAACAGAAATCGTTCACTGGAAAATGATGTTTTAATAATCGGCCCTGATGAAATGTACTGCTGCAATGTTCTAGTTATGTTCCCAGGTCTGTTCATTCCAACAAGCCGCCACTTTGATGTCCCAACTTCATTTCTCAACTTGTTCTGTTCTGTTTGATCGTCTTCTTCGTCTTGATCCATTCGCAGCATATCAGCAATCGATAACCGCCCCGGACTTATACAATCCATGGAAACTGATCTTCTGATCCTTCCTTCTTCTCTATCTTCATCATTCCTGATCAGGTCACTCAACCTGCTGTCATCCCCTGTTGATGAATTTCCCAAGTGATGATGATGATGATCATTATTAGCCCGCGAACCCGGCAAAACGTTATCTTCCTCCGATCTGATTCCCATCTCTATATCTGCTTCAGAATGAGAATGTACATTTTCAATCTCATGGGAATTACCATTCACTGAACTAAGACCATTTTGAGGGGGAGATGATTCTGTTAATGGAGGCACATCCGCGTTGAGGACGGCGATATTCGCCCGGCATAAAGGGCAATTGGAGTGAGATCTCAACCAAGTGTCAATACACATTACATGAAAACCATGGCTACATTTGGGCAAAAGCCTTAAGCTTTCCCCATCTTGAAACTCACTCAGACAAACAGAACACTCTGTACTACTCCTTTCAGTTGGGCTGTTGACCTCATGATCTCCTTTCTTGTACTTGAACACTTTGATTGACTTGATCAGAGCCTCGTCTAAACCATCTTGTTCCAAATCATGCCATGGCGAATGAATCGAATGGTCCAGATTACCGGCTTCTGATTCCCCGGATGGGAAATGACTTTCTCTGGTTCTATCTTTACAGTATTTGGAGATTATGGCGTAGTAACTTACCAGAAGGAAAGCACTTGCCAGGATACCGATAATGGCGATAACAATCGGCGAAAAACTGGGTCCGGCGCTGTCGTCATTGAGTTCAAAAGAAGGCGGAGGAGGGAAAATGATGTAGCACCATTGTGGACAATATATACTACAAAATCCCTGAGAACAATCCTTGGTGTTCATGTATGGCACCCATGGTTTTGGATTCACCATAGAATTAGACCCCATATCTTCTAACACAGGAAACAACAAGAACAAAGAGCTGAAACAACTTACCAGATTAATTCATGCTCCAAGCAAACCAATAAATGCATTTATTAGTGAGATGCCTGGAAGGATTTATGACGTGCAAGAATCTAAACAGTGCAGACTGCAGAGTGATCTGCAGAAGCAGCAGAGGAAAAAGGGGCCAAAAGCAGGGCAGATAGAAATATATTATAGTCAATTTTTTTTTCCTTGTATTCTTTTGTTCTTTTTTCTTTTTTTTCTTCTTTATCAAAGACTACCCTTTTACTTTTGTTTTGTTCTTGATGATAATGGCTTGTGGACGAACTACCTAAGATGGTCTCATCACTCTCATGTTGGTTGGAAATACATCAAAGTAATGAATGCTTTTATTATTACTCAAAGGAAAAGACCACTTGCTGGCATACATATATAAAAGAAAAAGCCTTTAAAAAGCGAATATTTATAGCATGAAATACGCAGAACAGTTAGGGGGGAGAAGTGAGTGAAACAAAGGACTTTAAATAAAGACATCTGATGCTGACTGCAGTTACCACGGCTAAAAGCTTCACCGACAACAGCAAGTTCTAATCAACACAAGGCATAAAAAAAGAATGTTGCCTAAAATTCCAGTCACACCAGTTCAGGCTTCATTTTTGGAAATGGAAGAAGACTAACACAACTTCAAGTTTGAAGTTTAAGCGTAGAATTTTAGTCCACGTTACTTATTAACCGTTTTATATTATTCTATGAAACTGATATGAGATTCGTTGTTACGAAAGTTAGAGCTAAAGGTTTTTCCAAACTACATTCCTTATCAATTGTTTTCTATTATTCTCTGTAACAAATATCAGATTCAGAATCTACCCATAAACCTGAAACACTTTAGTCTTTCACCTGCCCTATTCAGCAGGTATACTAGTGTCCCATTGAACTAAAATACAGGCAGACAACTAACCAATATTGACACATGCTAATTAAATAGCATATTACAAAGTTGGGGAAAAAAAAAATCTGCAGTTTATTTGCTTGGGTCGTGGGGAATCCTGTGAACTGGAAGGAAAGTAAACACCAAGTTACAGAAGGGGCAAAGCATATATTCTCTCCATGTTATTATCACTTTAGAGATGGTCAAGAGTATATATGGTTAGTGATAAAACCAAGAAATGTCTCACTCACATGCAAAGATTCCTAGTCAACTAGTGGAATAATAATTATATAAGTGGTGAGGAGCATAATTACAAATATTTATTGGAAGAAGTGATTGTTAACCTGAGAAATGAGGGAAAAGGCTCGAAAATATTAAAGAGGTTTCGAAATCAAATAATACGATAGATAAGAAAAACTACTAATCTATCCGAAGAATAACATGATAAGGGGAAAAAAAAAAAAAGAATTCTAATTTGTGTGCGCGGCGCTACAAGTTATAAGCCCCTCACGCCTGGGCAGAACAAAATAATGCCCTCCACTAAAAACTACAAAGCAAACTCCATGATGGCAAAGAAAGATGCAAGTGCAGTTTATCAATTCAACAATCAAGAAAGAGACACACACACACACACACACAAGTGAATTATATCATGAAATGAGCATTGTCCGGGCGTTTTTCAATTGGAAGATAAAGCAGGGCATCGAGTACATTAATTTTGTCTGTCCTCTCTTCATGATCTTTGCATTATACTACTACTATATTTCATGCAACAAAACCTTTGGAGGGGCATTGCACATTTTTTATCTTTCTCTGGTCCATACACTCTGTTTCTTAAATATCCTTTCCCCAAGTGTGCTCTTAAGCCTCTAAGACTTGTCGGCCGTCTCCGGTCCTACAATCTTCATGCTGAAAGAAAAATTTATTTTCCACATTCGCTATTTGTAATGCAGTAAATCAATAAACAGAAAAATAATCAACATCTTGACCGCTTATCTTAGGACGGGAAGCACGTATCAATTCTAAAAATATTATGAACTCTTATATCTTACACGATACAACTACCGTGGAATAATAAACATTAAAAACCCACCAATGTAGACACAGAAGTATTAAAGATCATTGAATTGATGGGATACAGGGAAAATTGTTAACTCTAAAATTCTAAACAGAATAATAAATGGAGTATACATACAGTTCTAGGAAAACTATTTTACACACTGTAAATGAGCCATAAACTTTGTGTCTAAAGTACTTACACGGGATCATATAAGAAAATGTAAAAATGAAGTTAAGTAGAGAGCTACCATTGTTTATGTGCATGATAAAAGGCCAGTCACTTTCAACCCCTCTACACAAGGAAAAAAATCAGAAGACAACAGTCTGAAGCTACTGATCTCCAGGTTGCCGTTCGTCCGGCATTTCTTCTGCTTTGTCTTCAGATCCTTTGTCTTTCTTTACACTGAATCTCAATTGTACTGCCCTGCCCATTAACTCCTACAACAAATATATAATTAAAAATAATACGGAGTAAAATAATGAGACACAGAGGGTAATGATTTTTCGCCACAAGATTTTATTACACTGTAACTAATGATAACTAGCAAAAGGAGACAATTAGAAAGTGGCCAGCCTGAGATACTACATAAACCAAGCATATGTTATCCGGCAATTCTGGATGGGCAGAAAGAGTGCAGTGTTTTGTGCTTAAGAAAATAAATCGTCTGGAAGGGATAAATAAGGCATTGGGAGAATGCTGGAGAAAAATCTGAAAATACTTGGGCTCCGTGAATAAATGTAATTTCAACAGCACAAGAAGTAAGACAAGAAACCAGATGAAAGTTATGTGAAGATAGCCATTGCAACAAAGATAACAATAAGCTCGGAGTTTAGCTTGTCAAAAATGTTGGAGGAAAGCAGTTATAGAATATGTCAATGCTCTAGCAGATTGCCTTAAAGCCTTGGAACTCCATATCCAGACAGTCACAATAGTTGAAGACATTACTTTCTAGCTTTAGGTTTTTATTATGTATAGAGGACATAACAGTACAAGCCCACATATAGCACAGCTTATATTGGAGGGTAATTAATCACAAATTGGGAAGGATCACTGACAAAGTTGGGTGCTTCAAGCAGCTTGTATTGATGATATAGGGTCATTAGTTACAGTGCAGTCGACAATGGTACACAGAAAGTTCTCCACACACACACGTAGACACAGGCACGTATGCCAAAAGTAGCATGATAACCATTATCTATAACATCATGTATTAACAGCTCTATGACATTTAAAAGAATAACAGATTTTCACGATGTACAGTTTACAGCTACTCTTTTTTCTCCTTGTCCAAGACTAATGCTATCAAGTTAATTAACCCAAATGTCAATGCCATTACATTTCTCCAACTCAGAGTGGGTCGTACAACATTGAATACTATGTATTTGTCCTTTTAATTTCATTATCTCCGCTGTTATAACTGACAGAATAGAGAAAACTTGCAATGCCACCCGAAATGAATAGTCTCAGTAAAGTGAGTAGCATACTAATTTGTTAAGACATTCTAGTTTTAATCTTCAGATATTCCAATGTATTCTGGACGTAAAATTCAAGAAACAAAAATAATCATAAATTCAACACTCTTGTGATTACCTTGCCCGCCAAAGAAGCAAGGGCAGCCTCTGCTTCCTCTTTTGAGGCAAACGAGACAAAGCCATAACCAGCTGATTTTCCTGAAAGACTATCAAACACCACCCTTGCCGAAACTGGATTGTTGGCAGAAAAGAATTCTCGGAGATGGCTAGACCTCACCTTCCAGGCAAGATTTGAAGCATAGAGCACATGAGGTGTCTGTTGGCCGGAGGGAGCTTGGGCAGTACCTTGAGGAGTTGAACGAGTGGGTTTTCTGAATCTTTTAGCGAATTCCACTCGGATAATCCTACCAGATACTTCCTGTATAACCACAAAATGCAGTAAAGCGTAATTAACAGAACATATGATCTCCAAAACATTTTCTGCTCAAGAATTAAACAATGTGTCAATTTTAAAGACGGTGGACTTTTATGAGCACTCTTTAGAGCTGTGGAAGGATGTTGCTTTACTGAAAAGTGAAGCATGGGTTTAAATCAAATCCTTAAGGAAAGTCACTACCTAATAACAAAGCTAAGAAGTACCACATTAACCATAAAGTTACCAGAAAGCAATGAAGACAAAATTAAGTATCGAAGGATCAATATATTTATAGTACAACCAGGAAGTTCTATTGAACAAATACAAATCCTTCAAGGAAAAAAATTAAATAAAACTAATACGAGAACAGGAAACAGAAAAGCTTCTGCAACTCCTTGAAAGTTCATTTAGATGAAGGACAAAGAAACTTGTGAGTAAACTGAATGACATGCTGTTCCGTTCGTTAAGCTTCTTTTGTTTCTTTCTTTTGAAACCCTGATGCATTTGAAATGTCAATGATAGTATCCTGTTCTTGCTTAAGGAAAAACTTCAAGCTAAAATTTACCTACAAGCAAACTTCAGACCTAAACACCAATTAAGCACGCACAGGAATTAACTTCAAATACCACACTACTTAAACTCAACAGCGTAAAGTCTACAATCCCGTTAGCATTTGCTCCACAACACAAGAATGCCACCACATTCACCTCATACAAACTGGAAGATAATCATTCAACGATTCTCTTTTCACTTTTATGCGAAGAAAACTGAGAATCACCACAGCAGCCACTCTAGTCAAGAACAATCAGTAATACAATGACCAATTTTAACTTACAAAAGAGTCGAATTTCTCAATAACGGCCCGAGCCTCCTCTCCAGAACCCATTGTAACAAAAGCAAAGCCCCGGTTCTTTCCATCTTGCTTCTTTATAATCTGATAGAATTCCCGCATTGAATTTCAATAAAGAAACAAAATAACCCACCATTCAAAATCACTTCTTCTAAAAGATGACATGGATAACCACAACGAAAAGCAACAGGATTTTACCTCAACGTCGGAGACAGAGCCACATTCACCAAAGAGGGTTTTGATATCCTCAACAGTTAAAGACCATGGCAAGTTGAGTACAAAAAGCTTCCGTTTTTTATCATCGATTGGCTCTGTCTTTTCTTCTGGTACTACAGCTTCCTCAACTGCCGAGCGAATCCTAAAGCTTGTTTTTTTGCTAAGAACGGGAGAAAGTAAACACAGAGAGCATTCGACGGGAAAAGAAAATGTGGGAGTGGAAGTGGGCAATTTTAGGGAGCTTGAAGGTCTAATTTGTAAAGGGTATCTATCGGAAGTTGAAGCTGAAGAAGGGCAGGAAGAGAAAATGGAGAAGATTGCTTCAATGGCAGCCATGATTGATCAAATTCGAGATGAAAAATGAGCATTAGGGAAGATGGTTGAAATTGAAAACACGCGGAAGCATTATCCGCAGAATGATAATTCTTACGTCAGATTTGACGAATTTTGCAACATAGACACCACTAATTTGATAAATCTCAGAAGATGGTCCTCTATATTGCACGATGATTGTTTAGAAATTAGAATCTTTCTTCTTTTTCTTTTCTTTTCTTTTTTTGTTAATATTTTTTATGATAATAGTGTTTAATCCCTAAAATGAATTTTAATGGCTGAAACATATTTTCTTTATCTTTTACTTTTTTTTTGTAAACTATAAATTCTATAAATACCAAAACACCAATATATTTTACATACATATCCTTACTTTGCTATTTCTACTAATATAGATGCCTAATCTGGACGGAAATTTAAGTTCTGCCTGAGTATAATTTTTACAAGAAAATTGAACTTCCCATATATTCTTGTTTGATTCTATGCATTCTGTCCTCTACAGTTAGATGCTTCTGCTGAAACTTCCTGCCATTTCTTTCAGACCAAATATGATAGATTACTACCACCAATGCTGCAAACAACACTCTTTGTTTTAATTCCTGGAATCTCCATATATTAACCACTCTTCTAAATGAGGAACTCAGGCTCTGAACTTGCATCTTCAATTCCATCTAATCCAAAACAGCTTCTAGTAGTTGCTGAGAGAAAAGGCAACAAAAAAACAGTTGTTTCGCCTTTTCTTCTTGGGCACCACACCGCTCACATTGAGCTTCCCTTGAAAACAAATTCATAATCTTCAATCTATCCTGAGTAGTTAGCATATCTTTAAGTGCTAATCAACCCATAAAGCAGTACCTAGGCAAATTATAAGGGCTCCATATCAGTTTAGCTTCTTTTCACTTATTACTGTGTCCACTCAGCCATTTGTAACCCCCTTTTGCAGTGTATTTCTTCCCCTGCTGGCCTATTCAGCAGCTATTCTGAATCCCCTGCTTCACTTCTTGATTTTCATTAACTTTTTTCAATGCCATCCATTATCTGGAGGTAGTTGGTAATCCTTTATCTACTGGCCTTTGAGATAATAATTGTGGACATTTTGTATCCATAAGTTTTCTTTTCTGCTTGCCACATCCCAAATTTTTTTCACAACCATAACTTGGTTCCATAACTCTAGATTTTTAATGTGGAATCCACCCTTTCTTTTATTTCTACACATATCATTCCATGCAACCAAAGACCAAGATCTTCTAGATTCTTTCCTGCCCCAGATAAACTCTCTGCAATATCTTTCTATCTGTGTAATTACTGAGTTTAGAATAAGAAAGATACATGTCCAGTAGGAATGGAGGTTCAACAGCACAAAGTTAACTAGAATAAGTGCAGACTCCTGCAACACAATTTTAAGTCTTTCGCAGAAGGGGTGGAATTTAAACACTCCTTTTTCTGTCTCTTTTTTTAACCAATCTAGTAAGGTATTCCATTACGATTACAAATAGCAAAAGAGACGTAGGGTCTCCTTGCCTTAAGCCCCTTTACCAAGAAAAAACCCTGTCCTTTGTCCATTCAAATTCAACATAGAGCTATCAGTGGTGACACATTCTAATACTCAACTGAAAAATTTTTGAGGGAACCCTAGTTAAAGTAGAATCTCTTCTAAAAAGCTCTAATGGATGGATCAAAGTTTTTTTTTCATATCTACTTTAAAGAAGCAAATATGTTTTACCTTTTTTTCTTCAGTACAATCTAATAAGTTCTTGAGTAAGTAAAACATTGTGAAGGATAGGTATGCTCTTAATAAACGCCCCCTAGTTCAGGTCTATCAAGTCTGCCAAATTTTATTTTTTTAAAAAAAATGTACTTGTATATTAATTAAGAAAAGATACCTATGCTATTACAACGAATTCTATTATATGCTAGGTTATGGAATTCTATAACATCTTGTCTATTCACTTTACTTAACATTGTACGTGTCTGAAAAGAAGAAATAGTACTATTCAATAAATAGACCACCTCTTGGGCCTCTAAAGGTATATCAGGGGATCGTAAATACACAGACTTTCAAAATCCGTGCACACCATAAGACTAGTAATACCCAAATTTACTGCTTCCTTCAAAGCCAGAAGACATGTCATTGCCTCCGACTGAAAAGGAGAAAGCATATTTAGATCCACCATTTTCATTTGCATCACCATCCCATATGGTGATATAATCTTCCATTCTCCAACTGCTTTCCTTGATTGGTGACTGAATGAACTATCAAATATGTCTAAAGCGTCCATTGGATTCCTATTCGGGTGTTGTTGAGTGGAAGATCTTCTAACTTTGATTCTGGATTGGTTCTGTTGATGAAGATTGACCTCAGTTTGAATGAGCCTCCATGACATCGCTGGATTATTACTTTGATTCCTCCAAATTTTATCATTGCGCTCCAACCATATCTTCCAAATAATGATTAGGAAGAAGTCTACCTCTTGCTTAGGCTGATGTGACTGAATCCAAGCAATGAACCACTATAGCAGAGAATCATATGTGGTATTAAAATTAGAACCAAAGTGTGAAAGCCCAAATAGCCTGGGATGCCTCACATTTGAAGAATAAGTGCAAATGGTCCTCAACGTGTTTAGAACATCTTGGGCAAATTTCATCCACCTAGACGCCTCTTTTAGCCAATTCGGATCTCGTAGAAAGAGCATTAAGTAGAGCTCTCTAAAACAGAAATTTGTGTTTAGGTTGAACTCCTGAGTTCCAAAAACGTTTCCATGCTAACCTTTTCGTATTCGTAATTACTGGATCTTGCGCAAGTCGTGGGAGATGGGCACTAATAGCCAAATAGTTCCCTGTTTTAACAGTGTAGTTGCCATGATATGAGGGTTTCCAACGGAATTCATCCCTCTGATTCTGCCTTGCTGGATCAATTTTAATGCCAGTTATGTGAGAGATAACTCAATTGGGGAAAAAATTCCTGAGTGCATGGACTTTCCATTGGCCATGTGAATTAATAAAACGATCCACTCTTAAATTAGAATTGGCTATAATGGAGTTTGCACTGATTGAATTTTGAATGCCAGGAATCCAGTTTGCTGACAGAGGAATATCTTTACCTGAAATCACTTTCCACTTAATGTGATCTTGTAGTAACTCAACCCCACATTATACTTTGAATCCCCCCGAAGGGTTTCTGGGAGGTTGTACCGAAGGGAACACACCATCTAGACAGTATTTAGCACGACAAAGTTTAGCCAACAAAGAATGAGGTACAGACATTATCTTCCATACATGCTAAGCGAGAAGTGCCTGATTGAATTCCTTTGTAGTTTTAAGACCCAATCCTCCATGAAAGGTAGATTTTGTGATTTTCTTCCATGCACGCCAATGAATTTTCTTATCTTGGTTATCACCTTTCCACACAAAATTACCAATGATTTGGTCTGCCTTTTTCAATGATGAACAGGTAACTTGAATACTCCCATTGGATACACCAACATTGAGACAAAGTTGATTTGGCTAGAGTCACTCTTCCTGGAAGCGGCAACAACTTGGTTTTCCATGATGCAAACTTATTACTAATCTTTTCAGTAAACTCGTTGAAGATGACTATCATCTTTTCATTAAAATTCAGGCTCATTCCCAAATACTTGCTATTAAACCTTCCAACCGGAATCTTAAGAGTACAATACATAAAGTGCTTCATATTCTGAATAGTATTATCACTGATGAGAATAGAAGACTTGTGAAGGTTAATACGCTGACCCGAAAACTTGGTATAATGTTCCAGTAGTCCTGCCAGAGCTAAAACAGTTGACTCCTTGCATTTAATAAAGAAAAGGCTATCATCTGCATACAAAAGATGACTCACCCTAGGCGCATGACGACTTATTCTGACTCCCAATCCATGTAAGTGTTGGATATCTGATTTAGTTGCTGAAGAGAGAACCTGTTGACACAAAATAAACAGATACAACGATAAAGGACAGCCTTGCCTCAAACCTTTATTCGGAGAAAAAGATAGTAGACTCTCACCATTGAATTGAATGAAATAAGAGATAGGAGACACAATGCATGATGAATCAATCTTGGAGGGAAGTTTTCTTTATGAAGAACTGCCTGTAAAAAAGACCATGAAACTCGATCATAAGCTTTACTCATATCAAGTTTGATGGTTGCCAATCCATGAACACCCTTTTGCTTCCTTATACACTAATAACCTCATGAGCTATAAGAATATTCTCGCTGATGTTTCTGCTGGGCACAAATCCATTTGATACTCATCAATAAGATCATTCATCACCTGTTTAAGACGATTTGTTATCATCTTTGTTATGATCTTATACTTGACATTGCATAAACTGATGGGGCGGAAATCATTTGGAGTTGTTGGCGAAGCTGTGTTATGTATGAGAACCAAATGAGTTTGATCCCACTCCGGAAGGAAGGACATAGTATTAAAAGCTTCAAGGATAGAGGCTTGAACTTCTGAACCAGTAATGTCCTTGTAATGATGATAGAAACCTGCTGGCATGCCATCCGATCCTGGAAATTTTCAGGGAGACCTTTGCTTAACTGCAGACCACACTTCCGCCTCTGTGAATGGAGCATCGAAATAAGCAGCTTGATCAGTGGATATGGATTCCTCTACATTATCAAGAAGTATGGTGAAGAATGAGGAGGTCTGCGACATTTGAGAAATGGACTCCACGGACATATATATATATATATATAGGGGTGTTAATACGGGCGGTTCGAGGCTTATTCGGTTCGGGTTACTCGGTTTTTCATCCTTAAGAAACCTTCCTGAGAACTGAACCGAAAATGTGCAAAACCGCACCGAACCGCCCGCTTATGAGATCGGTTTTTTCGGTTCGGTTTGCATTTACCCGATTTTTTTTTTAACACTGAAAATACACAATCTTTTTCTAAAAAAAATTCCTATGAATCCAGTGTGTAATCTACAAAAATTTATCCCCTATTCTAAATAGCCAAAAATCGGCATTTATGAGGTATGAATCTTTTATAAAAATTCACCAAACAAGAATCTCAAAAATCAAAGCTCTATATTCAAAAAGCCAACACTCAGAATTTAAATAAAAACATCTAAATCCAACAAATACAGAAACGATGCTTCAAATCTAGAGAAATTGAATCTTCAATCTTGGGTGCTATTTCAATTGTTCTTCGATTCCATGTGTTAGCTATGAACAGAGTAATGGTGGCCAAGAAATAAAGAGGAGAGACGAGGTTGGTGATGGATCTGGTGGGCGGAGAGAGGGTGAAAAAAGAAGAAAAGGGTAGCGGCGGCATTAGAAGAGGAGGGAGAGAAGAAGAGGGCGGCGGCGGCGGCTGCAATAGAAGAGGAGGGAGAGAAGAAGAGGGCGGTGGATGTGGTTGGAGAGGAAGAGGAGGGAGAGAAGAAGAGGGCGGGGCGGCGGCGGCTGCAGTAGAAGGGGATGGAGAGAAGAAGAGGGCGGCAGCTGCGGTTGGAGAGGAGTGCGACAAATGAATTAGAAATGATAACAAGGATAAGAAATGAAAATCCTATTGGACTAATATGTGAGAATAGGTAAAGAATTCTTGGACCAGCCCACTAAAAAACTTTCTATTATGGACTTTATTCGGATTTCAGCCGGGTCCGAATTTTTTCCCCACAAACCGTAACCCGCACCGTTAGAGATAGTAATTATTCGGGTTTACCCGCAAACCGAACCGACACAAAAAAACCCGTACCGTTTCAACCGAAACCGATGCGGGTCGGGCGGTTTTTCGTGTCAGACCGAATAACTAACACCCCTATATATACTAGAAAAATGATTATGGAGCAGTGAACTAATTTGGACATGAAATCGAGTCCACACTCCTTGATTATCACTAAATTGTTTAGCAAAAAGATCAGAACTTGCCTGATCCTTTTGCTAAGCAATTTAGTGATGATTTTATAGACAGTGTTACAACATGAAATGGGACGGTACTCAGTGGCATCCCTAGGTTGGAATTTTTTGGAAATAAGCAAATTTGTGTGGTATTAAACTGTTTCAACAATTTTCCAGATTGAAAGAATTCTAGAACATAATTACAAAGATCCTCTCCTACAGTTTCCCAAGAACTTTTATAAAACCCGTTATTAAAACCATCCGGCCTAGTGCATTAGTTAACATCTATATTAAATAATGCATCTTTAATTTCACCTTTAGTAAAACTCTTAATCAGGAAAATTATGTTGATATATAGACAGTTAAATCCCTGAATTAAGAGTTTTACTATCTGTTAAAAGAGTTAAATGTTCAAATGGTCCCTTACATTTGGGTTTACTTGAATTTACGTCCCTTACATTAACATTTCAATATTTAGTCCCAAACATTATGTTTTCAAACTTTTTTGGTCCCATTTCATTGTTTCGACCACTTTTCCGTCAAGATCGATGTTGACCGGCTATTGACTTGATGGAATCGGGTGTATTTCCGTCATTTGTCTTAATTTGAACTTCCATTAAAATTTAAATCATTAAAAATATTATAAAATTTAAATTTCATTACTTAATTATTAAAATATTATTTATTAATTTTTTTTGTTACAAAAATATTATTTATTTATTTAAATTATTATTATAAAATTATAAAATTTATATTATTTTTAAAATTATTTTTTTCATTTATTATTTATCTTGAGTATAAATAAATAGTAATTATGGTACACTTTTAACTTGGACCTACTGTAACTCTTTTAAAAATTCATAAACTCTTTTTTTTTTCCCTGCATTCCTACTCGTTCTTGGATTTTTACTTGCAAAAGATTCCTATTTTTCACTTTTCACAAACAAAATTATTTCATTTAAATTGTTGAACTATTAAAATAAAAAATCTCCAATCCCTTCTGTTTCCCCGGTTCTTCCTGTAGAATCAGAAGTTCATACCCGCCACCGCCGGTGCAAACACACCACCACGCACCACCAATCATAAACACAAGCGTTTTGAATTTCAATTAAGTTGACTACCGTTGCGCCATTAAAGAGTTCTAAATCTCTGCCATTCTTCGACTTTTCATCTTGATTTTGAGTACAAAAAATTCCCCAAAATTTATTTCAGTAAGCTACAAACTTGATGGTCTTCAAATTAGGAAATGGAAAAGATGGAGGTGAAGTGATGGTGTTGTTGGTTCGGCTCAGGCAGAGGGGAGAGCTTTGGACTTGGATGAGGGGAAGAAGGGGAATAAGCAAGTTTGGGATTTATTGAGATTTATTGGAGAATGAGCTGGTGAGGGTGTTGGCTATGGAGGAGGTGATGATGGCGGTAGATTTGGGCGGAGAACAGCAGGAGGAGAGTTACAGTTTGAAGGTCAGTAAATAATGTAAATTTTAAAAATAAGGTAAATTCTAAAATTTTATAATAATATTTTAAATTAATAAATAATATTTCGTAAAAAAAAATTAATAAATAATATTTTACTAATTAAATAATGAAATTTGAATTTTATAATATTTTTAATGATTTAAATTTTTAATAGAAATTTAAATTAAGTGAAAAGACAAAAATACCCTTGATTCCGACAAGTCAACAGCCGGTCAACATCGAGCTTGACGGAAAAGTGGTTGAAACAGTGAAATGGGACCAAAAAAGTTTGAAAACATAATGTTTGGAACTACGATATTGAAATGTTAATGTAAGTGACGTAAATTCAAGTAAGCCCAAATGTAAGGGACCATTTGGACATTTTATTCTCTGTTAAAATCCTAGATGTTGATGTTCAAATAAATGTACAAATTAAGTATTCTATACAGTGATTTAGTACCTGATTCCGGTTATCAATCTGATTGCCTTGTCGGTTAGTGTAGGCTAGTAACTTGTTCTATATTCTTATCTGCCGGACACAAGCATGGAAGTATCTTGTGTTGTCTCCCTCTTGAGTCCATCTTCCTTTCAACCTTTGCTTCCAGTAAGCCATTACAGTTTTGTTTCCAGGAAGTATCTTGTGTTTTTTTAATAATTATAATTAATGAGTCTTCCACATTTTTATTATTTGATTCAATATTATATAATCCTATTGCGAAAGTTAGTATTATTAAAAGCTAAGTTATTACTTATCATTTCATATGATTTACATTTCTTAAAATAGTTTTTTTTTCCAAAAAAAAAAAATCACGTATTCTAATTTACTAGGTTTCTTCACGTATGTTGTATAGATTATATTGAAATTTTAAATACAAATGGGTGATACAAAGAATAATTGTTCTGCACAACAGTTAAAAATGAGTTAAAAAGGAGGGGTGTCATCATATTATTATGAAGTAAATTTTCTAATCAAATTTACTTCTAAATAAATTAATTTATTATATTAATTATGATGTTAATTTTTTACAGTATTTAAAAATGCACCAATGTACTAACCATTTTCATGTAAATGTGACACACTGATCTTGGATACATGTTCTGGCTAGTACTTCCGAAATGAGAAGAGACCCATGGTTTTTCAATAAAGCACTATAAAATGCGATGTTTATAATCGTGAGTTTCGGGCTGGTTAAGCTAATCAAGCACTACAAGGGAGTAGTATTATAGGTCTACTGTTAATCTGTTATTGGCACAACTCACAACCTTTACATCAAGGGTGTTAGGCGTAGTAAAATTAAATTTAGGGATCTATTGTGCGGGATTTTTTTTTTCTGTGTTTTTTTTTTTTTTTTGGGTGGTCTATTTGTCCATTACTTTTCAGGGGCAGTTCTGACAGAACAAACTCGGAGAAAACGTGGAATCAATCTGCAAGACAGGCTTTGTTTTGTTCTTTTTTTTTTTTCAATTAATTTCTACAGCAATATGATACTTCTTTGATGTTGCGCTCTCTAATACTTGGCATCGTGAAAAAAGAGAAAAGAAACAGAAAAAATAAATTCATTGCAAGAACCTAGTATATTTATATATATAGTTAAACATCTATAAATTAATACTGTTAGGACCCTAAAAAATTATTAATTTATCGATGTATTAATTTATCGATAACTTAATAATTGTTAATTTATCGATAAACTAATAATATTAATTTAAAGATAATTTCTAAGAATCCTATTGATCTTTTATTAAGTTCATCAATATAAGATTTATATTATTTTATTCTCTTATAACCCCTATACATTAGAATTTAGACTCTACCATCATCTTAAATTTTATCATCTACCCAATCTACGTAACATGATATTATGAATAAAAAATATTTTTAACTATTTTATTTTTTGAACTAAAACAATTTATTGATTGATTTTATTGACAATTGAGGAAGATTATGTTTATGAAATAAATTAAAAGTATCTATTTAAAACAAATTGTAAATGAAATTCGCTCTTAATTTGAAATTTAAATGGTCACAATTTTTGAATTCTTTTAAGAAAAAAATTAATTCTTTACCTATGTTTTTGTATTGTACGATACACAATCGTATCGTGTATCGAATGTATCGTACGATACGTATCGGTAATTGACCGATACACAAGCGGTTGTGATACATACCATGATCCGTATCGAAATCTTTAATTTTGATACGTATTGTGCGATACGTATCGTGTATCATACGATACTTACTACTATGTTCATAACATCTACAATTTCCTTATATATAAATTTCAAAAAAAAAATCACTAAATTCATATTTTACTAGCTCATTTTTTTTCAAGTCATTATTAATTTATGATATTGACGGGACCTATATTTACATAGGAATTTTTTGAAAAATTATTATTTTATCATTTTATCGATTGTTTTTGTTTATTGTACTGGTCCCGACTTGGGACCAGATAAAATTATTAATTTATCGATGTTTTACTGTATATAGAAAAGATATTTTTTGTACTGATCCTGACTTAGGACCAAAGAAAATTATTGAAGTACAAAAAGAGAGAAGGATATCTTGTCGCTGGGTAAAAAATGGAAGTACAAAAAGGAAGGTATTGTAGAATACCTCGTTTTTTTTTTAGTTGTGTACCAAGTTTGCAACCGTTGGATACTTGAATGTACCACAGTCGAAACAAAGCATGCGATGAGCGTGGATCGAACACGCGACCTTCAGATCTTCAGTCTGACGCTCTCCCAACTGAGCTATCCTCGCTTCCGGTTAGAATTCCTTTACTTTTTTTATAAGTATTGAATAAAAAAAGTAATTTGGCACCATGGTGATAAACGTCTAATTAATAATAGTATTCAACTTTTTGTGTTAATTTTACCCTGGGTTTTCCCACTGCAAATGTGCTCTCTTTATTACAATAAATAAATAATTCACATTGAATTTTGACATTTACATTAAAATAATATAAATAAAAAAATTCAATGTGATTTTTTTTTTTTTTTTGGACTGAAGTAATATAAATTTAATTACCTCTGCTTATCGGCAACTTACTACATTCTAAAGTCTAAACCAACATATCAAAATTCGGATGAAAATTTGTTGAAAAGCTATAATATAATTTCTATGAGACGGTCTCGCTTTTTTAACTCTTAATCAACAATAATGGTTGAGATGGTTTTAGAATGAGATGTAAGATACTCTTAGAAAAATAATAAACTTTTTAAAGAATGATAAGAGAGAAATTAATGTTTACTGGTTGACGGACCATGGACTTATGTTGAGCCCAACCACCATTCATGGGCCAACAATTACTCATATTCTAGCTAATGGGCCACCAAAAGCCCTAAAAAGGTCCTAGCCCGTTGATAATAAGGAATATTCTATGAGAATATCCTCCTTCACTTTATCTATAAGTACTCTCATTTGGGTGGTAGAGAGTAAGCTCATTCTACTCACTTCCTTAACTCAATGACTTTATACTATTATTTTTGAGACTAACTTGCTCGTCAGAGTGCTTACCTTTGTTTTACAGATCTTAAGTCTATGGACACCATCGGATCACCATCTGACGGATTTGACCTTCACTACCGATAAAGAATTTTTTTAAAAAAAACTAATGATTTGTTTAACCATTCCATTTTCGCAGGCAAAAAAAGGATGATTAAATGCTAAAATTGTTTGATACAACACGTATGATTTTTATTTTTGGGACAAGAGAGTTTAATTAAAATTTATAAATCAATTCATTTAACAGAGAATGATGTTGTTGAATCTAAACTATTTCCTAACACTTAAATAGATAAACTCGTAAAAATAAGATTTAACTATGCACATTTTTAATTCATTTCCTGTATATCTTTTGTACAATTTTTTCCTACAACAATTATTACTCAATCCATATATAGTAACTAAGAATACAATATTTTAGGCAATTAAAACAATGAATAGTTGGTCACTTGCGATATGGAATATAATACTCCCTCCCGTCCTTATTATAAGATATTTTGATTTGTCCTAAATTTCACATATTATGTTTTTTCAATGAAAAAAACTCTTAAAAATTACATTTTCACATTCATTATTTTCTCCTAATTATTAGAAAATATTTTTAATTTTTTTTTCAATTAAAACTACATACTATGTGAATCTATGACAAAATAAGAAACGTATGTAATATTTCAAAAGACTTGTTTGATTTGTATGGAGGAGCATCTCAGTAAGATTCTTTCATATCCGTAATGGACAACTTACTAGAGCATCAAAGTTATTTGGGGTTCGAGAATCAATGTGATCATGTCTCTTTCTCTGTTTTTTGGTAAAGAAAAGGAAACATCAAATGTAATCCAGTAATCATAATTAAATGATGTTAATGCTACAGTTGGTAAATACTTTTTCAGATGTTTTAGTATAAGACATTTTGATTTATTTTAAATTTCATTAAACCATCTTAAACCTTCTTAAATCATCAAATTTGAGATGCTACAAACTCTCTTTCATAAACTAACTAGGTATTAGACCCGTCCGATGGACGGGGAAGGCATACACATTTAGACATTTTTACATAAATTTTGTATTTTTATAAAATTTGTAATGACTTCAGTTTTAAACATGATTACCTCTAGATTTATAGGAATTTGTTTTTTTTAAATGACATTTTAAATTAACTCGTGATAAGGTTTATGCAGATCTCTCTAAAATTTGTTAGGATTTGGTACTCTCTCCAATCAATCTCTGTATTAGGATTTGGTTCATAAAAATAAGGGTTCAGTTTTTATTATTTTATTTTTTTTAAAAATTATTTTAGTTGCTCATATTTTATTTAAAATGTGAGAGTGTGATTATTTTTTTACCCTTAAAGAATATCATTTACCTATTTTTTTCTTCATTAATATCTTTCTAGACACTTTCGCAAATTTCAAATATATCCTGCTCATTTTTTTTTCGAATTAAAGTTGGACTTTTTAGCCCCGCTACATCAATCCATCACCATAGTATTTTAACTCAATTCCATATTTGAAGCTAAATTATAGAAGTTTCAGGTTGGCCTAACTTCTTTAATTATTTTAATAAATTATTAATATAAAATTCTTTTTCAGTTGCGTTTTTTTTTTAAGTGGAAGAGATCCGTCCATCGGATTTGCAGGGATTTGGTCGAATCAATATAGGGTTTGGATTTTTTCAGTTGCGGTTTTTTTTTTTTTTTGGTTTTTATTGTTTTGTTTTCTGCATTTTTATATCTAAAAAATTAAGAAAATGCCACATCTTATGTGGCATGTGCTCCTTAACTTTAGATTTCTCTCTGGTTTTTGCCTTAGTACAGTATATTGATGATATTGATTGATTGATAGATAGATAGATAGATTCATGCCAAAAATATGCATGTCCAAGTAGCTTTCTTTTATCCCAAAAACACCAACGCCATAGATGATGATATTTGGTGTAAGGCAACATCATCTTAACAACTATTTTTATTCTCTATCAATAACTCTAAATCATTATTACCCATTTGCAGGAAGGCTAAAAGATGAGAACTCTCGCATGATTTGCGGTGACAGATTGACAGGGGAGCTCTGTTTCTTTAGGGTCCAAATCATGCACCCACTCTCTACAATTCTCGTCGGTATTGATGAGCCCGATTACCTTAAATTTCTTGTCCATCCTGAACATCTTTCATCCCTGGACAAAAACAACGTCATTGGTTGTCCATTGCTTGTTCAGGTCAACTACTTTGAATGCGGCAGAGTCGCAATCACTGTCTCCATTTCACATAAAGTAGCTGATGCATCTAGCATATCTGCATTCGTGAATGATTGGGCTTCCATGGTGGCGCGACGGCAAAAGAATTACGTCCCATCTCATCGATTCAATGGAGCTTCTCTCCTCCCACCGGAACTTGAAGAAGTTCCAGCTCCGAGCAATACCAACATAAACATAAGAAGGAGGTCGGAAAATAGCAGCACAAACAGTCGTCTCAAAGGGATTTTTCTTCAGCGATACGAAAATCGCGCAACTCAAATCCATGGCAGCTGGTTATGATTTGGATAGTCCAAATCGGGTGGAAGTTGTGACCGCACTCTTCTATCGGTGTGTGCCATGATCGCGTCAACGGCGAAATCGGGTTCCTTCCACCAGGCTTCTGTGTTGTGGAACTCCTTCAACTTTCTGATAAAACACTTGATTTTGAATTACAGACAACTTCTACTGGAAATTTTGTTTACGGGTTTGCCATACATACTTCTGAATTTTGATTCAGCCATTCAGGGATTGATAAGCAGGAATTTTTGGAGCTTGTACATCAAATACGGGATACTAAAACAAGACACCGAGATTTCTACATTAGCCTCAAGTTTGCTGCAGCGAAATAGAGGTCGTCCTCATCGTCGGCTGCATTGCCGAAGGCCGTAAATATTGGAGAAGAAAAAAAGAGTGGAAACAAGTTGGATTCATACTGTTGCAACAGTCACATTATGGCTTAGGCAAAGCGGTTTAATTTCTGTCATGTGTTTCCATCGGAGAAAAACCATGGTTAGCTCAAATCGAAAGCCTTCCACATGCTTTCATGTGATAAATTTGAAGATACTTTTTGTTTGGGAAAAAAATGATATAATTATTGAACATTAATTGTGAAATTAGATCCTGAATGAGATGATGATATGTATACGCTCTATAGGATATATGAAAACAATGGCGATTCCTTTCATGCCGGTCACTCCTCACCTGCATAGCTACAACATTTTTAGAAAAGAAATGGTGCTTTCTTTCTTTCTTTGAAGAAAGAAACGAAATGGTGCGCCTCTTCTATAACGCATCTAATGCCTAACACATAATGCGGTCAGGCAAAGAGGCATACTACTATTTGGTTTTTAAAGACTTAAACCCATAGACAGCTATGCGTAATATAAGAAAAATCGCAGACTGTTTGGCCTCAATAGCAGTGCTAGACAAGTGAATTACACTGGCTCGAGACTTAGAGAGTGTTTGACTACAATGTCGTTGAGGTAGTCGATTCCCGTAGTGTTACAAGATAATAACCTATCTTTTTGTGAAAAAAAAAAAGGTGTGAAAGATATCAATAAAAGTGGCACATATTTACGAAGTGCGTGATATATTTGGTTTCTTGGACTCGGTTCAGTGATGTCTTTCTCTTTCACCACATTGCAATTTTGCAACCTCAAGCTTTGAACAAATTTTTTTTGATGTTTCCATCTCCTTGTTTTGCATAACAACTCCGAACCCGTACCTGAAATACAGTATTTCCTCGTTCATCTCCAAAGGATATATACAACTCCTTTGAGAACTTTCTCTACCAACCTTAGTAAGTAATACGCGGAGGCTAATTCTGCAGTCGATTATCTAACTTTTTTAGCATCTATTGTCATGAGGTTTTGTAAAATTAGTTCAACCAACCTTGGCTTTAAGATCTTGGTTGGAAGGCGATATGTTAGATGTTTTATACCAATTCAATGTGTAATTTAATTATATAGGCTTAGACTTCTTTCTTTCTACCAAAGAGAAAATAATAAAAGAAAATAATAATACAAGTGAAAGTTATTCCTTCTATGTTATCTATTAATCGAATCGTGCCAGTTTAATTCAATAAAAATAATGATTATAGAGGGACCAAAAATGTACTAGCTGGAGACAAATCTTATAAGATTTCTATTTACTTATACACACTTTTTAAGCTAGCATTTTTCTAATTATTATTACTTTTTCGTATCCCTCTTGACATATCCCACATCTAAGCCACTCAAGTAGTGACTAATGAATGGCGGTAATACAGGGGAATTACGTCCTTAAGTCCCATATAAAAGAAGATAACTATTCTATCCTATTTAATTAAATATAGTTAATTAAATTTTACTCTTCTAATTTGATAAATAAAGTTTTAGATTGGGCGGTGATATCTATTTGCTTGTAAACAATTTCTTGCTAGTAGCCAAAATGATTTTTCTTGCTGAATGTTGTCCCACTCGTGACATTCCACATCGAAGCCAGTCAAATAGTGAGTTATGGCTGAATACATGGATGTATGCGGTCCGAGGCATCTTTTCTTGAGGAACAAAAAAGTCATGGTTTGTACTCCAACATGCATGATCACACTGCACAAAGTTTCTACTCATTAACTACGAATTTCTTCCTTTCTTTCACTTTTGTTTTTTCTTTACAACTATTTCCCTTTTTAAAAGTTAAATAAATAAACAAGGTAAAGTGATTGCACATTTGGACCAAGATCCAAGAAATTAATCAAAACCCCCTTCACATCTATAGATTAAATTCATTTTTAATCACTCCAAGTCCGAGGGATAAGTAGACCAGACAAAACACAACCAGCACCAAAATCGGCACTTTGTCCAAATTAAAACTTCCCTCCGTATTCCAAGTTCATTTCTAGTTCTTCCACATAAAAAAAAAAAAGAAAAAAAAGAAAGAAAGAAAGAAATGGCATTGAGTAATAATGTCATTGGAGCCATAAATTTTGTTGCTGTGCTACTTTCAATACCCATTATTGGTGCTGGGATTTGGCTGGCAACAGAACAAGATAACTCATGTGTGAAGATTCTTCAATGGCCAGTCATAATCCTAGGAGTTCTCATCTTGGTGGTGGCTCTTGCTGGTTTCATTGGAGGGTTTTGGAGGATTCCATGGCTTCTGATCTTCTACCTTGTGGCTATGCTTATTCTCATAGTTCTGCTAGCTTGTTTGGTTGTTTTTGTTTATATGGTCACTATAAGGGGTTCTGGAAGGCTTGCTACCAATAGGGCTTATTTGGAGTATCATTTGGAAGATTATTCTGGTTGGCTTCAAAGAAGGGTTAGAAGCTCTTATAAATGGGATAGGATTAAGGGTTGCCTTAGCTCTTCTAGTTTGTGTGCTGAGTTGAATCAAAGTTACAAAATGCCTCAGGATTTCTTCACTGCGCATCTCAACCCTATTCAGGTAATTTCAAATTTTTTTCCCCTTGCTTTAATTTGTGGCGATTGTGAACATTGCAAGCGAATGAACAAGTGCGTGTGAATATGTTTTTTTTTTTTCTATAGATTTGTACTTTTACTCTCACATTCTTTTGATAATGACGTGATTTCATTCAGTTAAATAATTTAATAACAGTACTAAAAATGGTATAATCTATCTATTATGTATTTTCATATCTCTATCAGTGATTTTAATGAATGAATGGTTTCTATTTTTTTAATTTTTTTTTTATCAAACTTTCTCTTTTGCAACTTCTTAGAAAAAAGTTGGTGATATCATCTGTTCGAATCTTTAATAAACTGATTTAGTGACTTAAAGTCTTAAAGCTAGTATTAAACCATATCAGATAAATATAAGTGGAGACAGGTATTACTTTTTTCCCATCCCAACCATATGCTTTAACATCAGAAATATTCTTGGAGTGTTTTCTGCTTTTAAGGTCCCAAACCCAAATTAATTAAAGTTTGTTCTTGATTTTTAATCTTTTTTTTTCATCTAAAATATGTTTTTTTAATTAAGTAATTTATTTTTTTTTGGTGCAACTTGAAATTTGGCAGTCAGGATGCTGTAAACCGCCCACACAATGTGGATACACATTTGTGAACCCAACATATTGGATTAGTCCAATTGATAATGCAGCGGATATGGACTGTCTTCAATGGAGCAATGAACAAACACAACTTTGCTACCAATGTGATTCATGCAAAGCTGGTTTACTAGCAAATATCAAGAAAGAATGGAGAAGGGCAGACATCATTTTGCTCATAACTCTAGTTGGCTTGATTTGGGTGTACTTAATTGGATGTTGTGCATTTAGGAATGCTAAAACTGAGGACCTGTTTCGCAAGTACAAGCAAGGTTATACCTAATTAATTATTCAGTGTGTGTATATTTGGGGATCGAAATTCGTGACATATCGTAAGAACTGTTCTAGCTGAGTTGCAACTAGGGGTTGGATTGGAATTTGGACAATTCGTGACTTTTGTATCTCCTTTCTGAAATTCTGATGGCTTTTTTGTTGGGTTAAATTGCATGTTATTCTTTTCTTGTTTCTCTCTCTCTCTTTTTTTTTTTAATAAATCTTTCGAAGCATTTAATTGCAATATAAGTAACGACAGAGAGATAAGTGAAAATACGAGAAATCTATCTATTCGTATTCCGTGCATGGTTAAAAATGTCATTAGAATTTGCATTTTTTTAATCCGGGGTACATGTGTCACTGAAGGTTTTCAATATTTTTTCCTTTGCCATATATGTTGGTGTATGCATCGAATCGAACTGATTAAAAGATGCATTTTTTTTTTTCCTTCTAAAAGAGAAATCCGCGTTCTCTATTCTCAAAGTAACTTTCGGCGTGTTCCATCAGTCCACCCAACAATTCCCGTAAACTGTTCCTGATTTAATCATTCAAACTTTTTTGACTTTTCTCAATACAGGTAGTACAATCAATTATAAAGCCATATTCTGTTTTTTTTTTTTTTGTTTTTGTTTTCTTGTATATTTGCACGGGAAATTATGAAAATCAGTGTTGTCAGGCTCGGATTGGAGCTCGACTCGGCATGGCCAAGGGGTCGATCGAATCGGGAGTCGACTCGGGACGATTCGGGGGGTTGACTAGGATGACATCATAATAATGTAATAAATACTAATTAATTAATAATAATATTTTAATTAAAATTTTATAAATTATATATATACATATATATTTTTCAATTGTTGGAGTCAAATTAATATTTTATAATTTACAAATGGGTCACTATATAATCAAATTGAACTCATGAGGTCGCATATAATAATGTCATTATTACTAACTATATAGTATTTAGTTTTTTAATATATTTAAAATTAAAAAGATTTAAACTTTATATCTCTCTTCGATTATTTTAGTTGATATTGATGTTTTTCAGTAGTTAATTGTTACTCAAGTGAAGTAAATTAGTATACTAATAAATTAAGATAAATACATTATCATTTAAAAAAAATGTTAAATTTGAAGGACAACTAATATACATATCAAGAAAAAGTACTCCAAGATTTTTTTTTTGTGATATATTAGAGTAACAATATAAATTTTTCATAAAATGAGGGAAGTAAATTTCTGTAGCAAAATTAAAAAAAAAGATTATTTAAAATATTATATTTTGAAAATTGAAATTGAATATGGGGACTAAATATTAAATTAAAACTTTAAAAAGTACAAACAATTGAAAGTTGTTGGGCAATTTTGCACAAAAGAGAAAAAGTTGGCCTGGAAGACATTGGAAGTTGAAATTCATGGAAAAATATGCAATTTTTGGGTCAAAAGGTCAAAAAAACTAAAATCCCGGTTCGACCCGGTTTTAGTTGATTCGTGGTTCGACCAAGATTTTGACCGATCTTCTTTTTGGCGATTTTAAGCCTTATTCGGATCGGCTTAGGATTCGGTTCCCGGTTTAACCGGGACGACCCGCCAGTCTGAGCCGTGCATGACAACACTGATGAAAATATCCTATTACATTGTCTGTCCGCGATCCCTTGTTGCCACCATTTGATTATTTTGTTCTTTACGTTTAGACCTAACAACTAACCTCATAACAAAAATTCTCTCAACATTTCAATCTTTATAATTTTGAAGGCATTCGAAGGCTAAATTGATAGCGGAACGAAGGGCTCGAAGCGAGAAAGATGAAATTGAGACACAGGAAACACCCTCCCCCTTTTTTTTTTTTGTCCGCCGGCCGAATACTAACCGTGGGAGATCCACGCTCGGTCTAACCTGCTCCCCCCGAGTTTTTTTTTTTTTGTCATTTAATTTTGTATTTATTTGTTTGTTTATTTTTATTTTAAATTAATTATTTATTTTTAGTAGTACAATATTATCTTTCAATGAATCGATAATTATTATATTAATTTGTAGCGTAAATTTACGATTATTAGGTAAATTAAATTATTTGAATTAATATTAAAACATAATTTTTGTATTAATTATTATTTTTTAAGATAATAATTATATATTTATACTTAAGGATAATAATTGTACTACAAAGATTATGATAAATATGTATGAACAGATATGAATGTATAGTTTATTATTTTCTCAATTAGGTAATATTTTTCTAATTTTTTAAATTAATAATTTATTAGTTTTTTGATTATTTAATCTTGATTATCCTAACACTAAAAATTTTCTTTTATACCAACGAACAAACAATTAGCTACTTCTACTTGAAATAACTCAAATAATAAATTATTCATAAACTCAACTAATAAAAATTTAATGAACTAAAAACTAACATAAATAATTGCGAAAAGAAAACTAAAAAAATAAAAAAATAGATCTAATCGGACTGGTCGCCCGATTGGACCGGACGCGCACGCTCGGACTAGATCGGGCCTACCGCAAATCACGTGCGGACCATAGCGGCAGACAACAATTGCAGACACCCTCCACAACGGCCAGCCGACGATGAAATTTGGCCGGCAAAAGACGGGGCGTGGTTTTCCCAGCCCGATCTAACCTGAGACGTGCGGCTCGCACGTTTGGCCAAAAACCGGACGTGTAAGTGGCACGTTTGACCTGGTTTTTAATTTTTTTTTTAGTTTTTTAAATTTCTTTTTAGTTTTGTTCCTGATCAAGTTACTTTGTTTGGAAAAAAAAAAAAAAAAAAGACAAGGGCAAAATTGAAAGATAGCGGCAAGGAGTCCAATGGCATCAAGTAGTACCACCATACATTATAAGATGAAAGCAAATCCCAAGTTCCTAACGTTTTTCCGAGGAAGTTTTGGATTGATTATTATTTATTTTTAATATGAGATGTGAACTTGAGTGTTTATATGGCCACCATTTTTCTTTCCTTTTTTCCATTTAAAACACCTTTTAAACACAAATTGTAATAGAAAATAAATGCTATTCAAATAATATTTTAACTTATCTTTTAAAATTTGTCTTAAGTATTATTTTCACTCACTACCTTCTTTACACAATGTAAGTCCAAGGTTTAATTTGGATTGTGTTAAAATATTAAGTCCACTTTGTATTCCAATGCATAATTTTGTTGATTTTACCTAAATTACCCTTGTCTCTATAATTGCTATTGAGTTAAGTAGTAGTTGGCCTTATTAATTAAGGTTAAAATAGATCATTTACCTTTGCTAATAATTTACTCTTAATATTTGTGCCACTCAAAGTGGACTTATATTGTGAAAAGGAGGTAGTATTTTTCAACCACCACCACCCGACCACCAACTTCGCTGCCGGACCACCGCCCACTGCTACATGCCGGACTCTGGGAGTGGATTGGAATTTGGACGATGTTTTGGTGGCGGCGGGGGATGGTAGGTGGTGGTCCCTTGGTGGTGGAGGTGGTCTAGTGGTGGAGGTCACTAATAGTATTTTTCAAAAAAATTATTTTCATTCAAAACACCTTTTAAAACACATCTCAAATCGAAAATGAAAACCAAAACAAAAATCGTTGTCCATTCAAGCCTTTAGTTTCACTACAACTGCACTCTTCTTTAGATAATAGGTTAATGTCATATCTATCAAAAGCATAATCATATCCATAAAATTTAGATGTAACCCAATGTCATACATTTTTGCAAAGAGGGTCTCCTTCGTTACATTCCATAACTAAGTGTCTAATGTATACCTCCTAACCATGTTGGATTTTTTTGGTCTAATAGTAGCTTCAAGTAATAAAACAAGACAACCAAATAGTTACACTAGAAAGTTACAATAAAAAAAGTGATAACTATTACAACTAATGGTTGAAATATAAACTTACTATAAATATCATATTTAGGCTGATTATAACAACAATAAACCTGATTACAAAAGAGAATATCAATTCCGAAAAAAAAAAGCTTTACAAGGGAATTACATTACTATTAACCTACAACTATCACGGATCAGAAACTTGTACTCCCTTGCTAGTCTATGGTCTTCACAGGCTTTCTGCTCCACATCCATAGTAGTTTCTACATTCATTGACATTGGAACTCCTAATTTCCTTCATAAATATTTCTTTCTTCAAATCTTCATATTCTTCATCAGATTTGTTTATGAGCCTTTTTTTTTTTTAACAAGATACTAAATAAAATTTTATATTTATGATAAGCATAAATATACAGTCGTTCTCTACTTATTAATATTGCATTCATGACCAGCTTTCAACTATTGTTACAGTAATCAAAATATAGATGATATTTTTCTATGATTGGCCAGTTGAGCTTGTTGAGAAGCATTCAGTTGCCAATATGGAATTACATTCTAGTAGTCAACAGAATAACAATTTTGTGGGTTTTGATCATTGTAAGCGCATGCATTAATGGTAAAAACTTTGTAGTTTGCGATGAAAGGTATTTTACTCCAATCCACGCCTTCTCCTGCAAGACCAGCATTCTGAATGCTGGCTTTAATATGCATTGCTACTTGACTCGGAAATTTCACTCCTTGTTGTGTTGCATTCTTTCATACTCTTATTGGTTCCTCATCCACAAACCATGCGATCTGGTGTTCGTTCCAAAGAATTTGATACTTGTGAAAATCATCACTTGGATCAAACCAAAGATTAAATTGTTTCTCTTTGTCATCCAAATCATTTGTAAATATATTTGTACTTAAATTTCTCCCAAAAATCTCAATGTCGACCTCCAAAAGATTCGCGCCTTGAACAGATTTGCCATATGGTATTGATGTTAAATGATATGATGTAACAACTCCATTCATGTCTTGGTTAGGAGACTTCAGGAGAACTTCAAAAATACTAGAACCAAATTTGACTTTGAACTAAATCCAGCACCTGAAGTTTGGTCTAACTGGAGTTGAATACCAAGGCCTTGGTCAATAATAATGAGATGGTCACCTCCCCAAATTTGTTTATAGTTTTCATCAAATTTGTCTTGTGCATTACAACCATGTTTTGGAGTATCTGAAAAAAAGAATAAGAATAAATAAGACTAAGGATGCCAAATATCGCATCTTTTTTCTCATCTTCTCTATGAGCTGTTTATTTCCTACAGCATAAAAATAAAATAAAATAAAAATCCTCCTTGAAAGAGGGGCTAAACTTCTAGATCAGAAGAGAATAAACACC